ATGCGATTCAACCTCGAATCTTTTGACCTGCTGAACATGACTTCTTCCTTCCCCCAGCAAAGAGCTCAATATGTAGGGAGTCCAAGAACCGCATCGTGCCGCTGTTTGCAACGCCCTGTGAATTCGTGCGCAAGGAAACCACCGGCCGCACGCCACGCCATTTTGCGCCCTTGCAAGGAGAAGCCGGCCCGACCGTCGGACAAGGCGACACGTGACTCATAGCTTGGAGAGTTAGCCTTTCCCTGTAAACCCCTTGTTTAGGGAGAACAAGCTAATTAGCACATGGAGCCCGATAGCCGACCCATAATTACCTCTAATAACCATCACCTTTTGGCTGATCTGAAGTGCCTCTCGCGATGCTCAAAGCGGAAGCATACAAGGAGCTCCGTAGAAACCAAAGTCGCCGGGTTTTGGGCGCTGCTCACGTGTTGTAGCTCCATCAGCGGCCACTTTCAGCTGAGAACTTCCGATAGAGTCGAAGACGCACCAACATACGAGCCAATGGCACATGACATCTACAGCATTGATGAATAGGCTATACTTCGGCCATTCTGAATACCACATTTGTCAGTTGAGTTCGTCGGATCTCCTCTTCAATCAGGTGAGGATTGGATGTATCTTTTGAGGAACCCTGCTCTACGCATTATATTATTGGTGTATCCATCAACCTATTTGCTGCATCAATGTGGTCAGTTTGATCACTTTTTGAGCAGGTGATGTGGCATGGATCCGCTCACGTGGCTTTTGGTTTCCGGGCGGGTTCTGAAGCCTTCATTTGCTGAAGGCGAAATGGCATATTCTAGGGTGTGATACGATGGATGGATGGGACGGTGGGTGGACGGACGGGACGGACGGACGGACGGACGGACGGACGGACGGACGGACGGACGGACGGATGGATGGATGGATGGATCGGTGGATGGATGGATGCATCGGTAAATGGGCAGATGCATCGGAAGGATGGACGGACACGGGCGGACGGACGGATGGATGGACGGATCGGACGACGGACGCACAGGCACACTGACGGACAGACAGACGGATGGACGCATAGATGGATTAATCGGTCGCTGCCTCCCTAACTTCCTACCTCCGTATCCCTACCTGCCTGCCTCTGCCTGCCTCTGCCTGCCTCTGCCTGCCTCTGCCTGCCTCTGCCTGCCTCTGCCTGCCTCTGCCTGCCTCTGCCTGCCTCTGCCTGCCTCTGCCTGCCTCTGCCTGCCTCTGCCTGCCTCTGCCTGCCGCCTGCCTCTGCCTGCCTCTGCCTGCCTAGCTACCTACCTGCCTATGCTACAAATATATATGTATATATATATATACATAATATTAATACACCCATTAGTGACACGGAGAACACTGGACATCACTCATTCTGAGATCTTCCCATACGGAGGCCTTCGGTGATGGGGGTGTGCTGAAAGAGCGGGGCGCCTCATTCGGTCTCAGCCCGTCTCCAGCCGCCCACCGCACCTCAGGGGGGCCAGTTCCCTAGCGCCTCATATCGCCTGGTAAGGCCCGGTGTATGCCTTCAATCATAAGGGCAACAGGATGTTTGGCTCCCTGAACGGGGCCCCTACATCAAGGTCGCGCAGGAGGTTTCCTTTTTTTTAGGTGCAGCTGTCTTTGAATTCACCCAGCAAAGGGGCGTCCTTCCTCATGAGAATCCACTGGCAAGGCGAAGGAAGTGTGTTGAACCTCGCGAAGGATGCCTTCTCTACCCCGCAAGGGTACATTCGAGGGTCTCCTGTCGCAAGATGTGTGTTTGGCCGCTGGGGTGGGATCCCTTTTGGGTCCTTTCCCCGGGTTTCATTGGGAATATGATGTGATTCTGGTCGGCTCGGGTTGGTTGAAAGGGCAAGCTTAAAAGGGAAGCCACCATTTTTTGAGGTCACCTGGGTGACACAAACCCGTACCACTGAAAAGGTGCCATGCCAGACACCCCTCTCCCCCCCCTTCGGTCAGAAGCCATTGGTTGCTGGGAGTAGCCATTCGGAGCTGCTCAGTTTTTGGCCAAGCAACATGCAACTCGACAGAGCCTTGCAAGTCCAGGTGAGCTGTATTGGACTTTGGGTTTCAGGGTGCCACTGTCTGTGATTCCTCTGAAGATCCCATTTTGAATCGATCAAGTAGTGCTGGTTGGAAAGCCAACTTTGCTACACTGCCACAAACCAACATGAAACCTGATCAGCATTTCTCTGTTTGGACCATTTTCCTCTAAAGGGCCTCTTGGTTCCATTTTCTTCCGTGGGATATCACGGATCGGGGCCAACCATTTGTGGACCCCTCAAGATTTAGAGACCCCACGATTTCCTCTCAAACCCGGCAAAAAGCGCTTTCCCGCTGGCCTGAGGCTTGGCAAGGAGGAGGTTGAACTGGAGGCCGGAGCTTGGACAAGGGGCGGCCGCGAGGTCAAATGGACCTAGTTGTTTGTCTTAGTTGTTTTCCCGCTTTTTTGCCAGACTACCAGATGTTCCAGCCAAGATGGGAAACCACTGCAAAGTTTGGGGTTGCTCAACACAATGAGACCACAAGATGTTCCAACTGCAGATGATAACGTTTAGGGGATTTCAGAACCTCAACGCATGGACCAAACCATAGAAGCTTGGCCATTGGTCCTTTTGCCCATCTTTCCAGTGACCAAGTTTCTGCTTGTGTTTGTTTCTCTTGGGAGCAAGCTGCAGCCCTCAACGGTTGGGGCGGTTAGGGAGCTGTGGATTCCTTTGCCTGTTTGTTGGTGGGAGGGGGAGTGTTCACAGTGATGCTTGGCACGGACTCTGGTTGGCTCGTCTGCTCTTTGACCGAAACCTTTCGATCCTTTGGCAAATGACATATTAATATGTTTCCACTCACCAGCAAAATGCTCCACGCTTGGAAGAGGGTCAGCTTGTTGCTGAGATTTAGGCAAAGGTTCACTCGTATTGCTGCTGCGCTCGTTTTGTAGCGACGACACAAGATGTGCTGGTTGCTGTTTTGACATTTTCTCGGACGGGCAGCCCTTTCACTCCCGCTGGCTATGAATATTGCGGAACCCTTCAATGGGTGGACATAAATGCTCATGGAAAATGATGTTCACCGGTCACTGGTTAAATTGACACTCAGACGTTTTGGAGTGTTGATTGTGAGCCCTCTCTCAATCACTGAAGATTTTAGGGAACTCCAGGCCCGGCATTTTCCAAGATAGGTACCCTCAAAATGGGTGTTGTAAAGTCCCGGCTTGACTCAATTCAGTCAACTGCCAAAGTTTCAGACATGACCCATGATTTGGGATAGGCTAGGGGAGTAGTCAAGAATCAAATGGGCGTGTCGTTTTTGACGATACCCCTTTTTCGCGGTTTTAAAGGGCACCAAAAGGAACACGTTTGATGTTCGCAGGCGGAATCCCAGCAGATGTCGCTGGAATCTCTGAGAGCTCAGAACCGCCAGATCGAGGAGTGCGCGATATGATAGCCTCCATTTCCAACCCGGAATCTGAAGTTGCGGCCACTTTGGGCTTTTAAGGTAGGGGAAACATATTTGCGGACATGCCCTGTCCTTCCGCGGATTTGCCCCAGGACTAGGGTCGAAAACACGTTCGGCCATCGCCGAATGCATTTTCTTGGAACTATGGGGGACGTCAGAACAACCGTAGGTCCTAAAGCAGAGGGGTGCCATTTTCGAAAGGGTCCTGGCGTCCAGCTTCTCCGGATTCGTGAAGTTGAGGACCGACCCCGCCCGTGTCCAAGAGTAGCGCAGCCCGCCCTTGGCTTTTGGCCAAGTGGCATGCGTCATGGCGAGGGACGCTTAGTTCCTGCGTTTCGCCAACATTGGCTGGAAGCCCCAAACAAAGAACCGATCCCGCAAGCGCTGGCGCACGACAAAGGGGTTGACCATGTCCATGGGCATCGTCCAGCTCGAGGCAGCCAGTGACGGACTGCGCTGAAAATCTGGTGGTGACCAAGTCCGTGAGCTTGCGGTCGGATGAAGCCCAGAAGGAAGCACGAGCCCGAGCTCCATCGCAGCTTCTAGCCGGGTCCAAGCTGGGCGCCTTTGCGTTGGCCGTGTCCCTTTCGCCGCCTCCTTCACAAAGGATTCGTGATTGCCTCAAACTGGATTCACACAGGATATGGACAACTAGTCACTTTTTGCCGAGCGCCTACAATTCATTGGGCGCGAGCCAAGCTAGCTTCGGGGCATAAGGATGATTCCAATCTGCGCGCTGAAAGCGGAGCTGGGCTGAGGGGAGGAATTGCGCGATTCCCCACTCTTTTCGGTTGAAGGCGCACTCTCCGCCTGGGTGTTTCCATTTTTTCCCTGCCGGACCTCCGTCCGGACGGCTTCGGCTCCGACGTGGTTCGAGGTACGTGATGCGCCTGGTGCGACAGCGAGACGAGCTGAAGCAGGTCACGAAACTGGCCGAGGACGGGGGGCAGTTCTGGGAACGGATCAATCCCTGGGGGTCGCCTTGAAGATACTGAATCATTTGGAGTACTAAATGGGTGTGGCTCAAAATATAACCAGCGTTACGCAGATTTTAGTCTTTGCCAAGGTGCCATTTTGGTACATGTTGTTGACCCACAGCCAAATGAGAACCAGAGTCTGGACCTGTTTTTGGTGTAGTACCCCAGATGTGGGCCAAGTAGTGGGCACCCCGGATTAATAAAGCCCTGCTTAGTCCTTCGGGTGCGTGTGTGCGTGTGTGGCCCATTTGAAAGAGGAACCTTCAGGGGAAAATTATGGGTGTTTGTTTGTTCTGGAAGTTGCCTTTTTCCGGGTCTTGTTATTTGCGGGTTCCCAATTTTGAGACAACACCTGCCTGGCCGATTCATGAATTGGGGTGCGTGTTTGCCCCGCATGTGAAGGATTCCTCTTTGATGGGACCGTATTTGTTCTATTTGGGTTTGTGTCAAAATACGGGACTCTTAGCCCTTAGAATTGGTGGTTTTCGCTTGGGGTATATGCCCTCTTTTTTGCCTCACCAATTTGCTCCCCTGAACCGCCCGATCTGGCTTTAGGCCTCACCCATGATGAAGGCTCCTTGAAAACAGCCCTTGTTTGAGTTGGTGAATTATCATGATCGCCAGGACATGTTTTCAGTTTGGCGTAAAGGGGAGAAAGGGGTGGTGCGCTGGGGGTTTCCCCCAAAAAGGATTCAAGCCTAATGGTAGTGATTAAGATGAGAATGAACAACATAGAGTTATGAATGCAAAATGAGAGTAAGGTCAGATTCTCGTTGTCTCCTGGTAGATTAGGTTATATTAAATTGTACGTATGTCAGTATGTCATGTACTTGCAGTTAAGACGTACATTTCCAAAAAGTCCAAGAGGAGCAAGCAAATCGAGTGCAGGATTGTTATGTTGTGTGCTAACTAACTCTTGCATCGACTACCTGTAGAGTGCGTCAAAGGCGGAGCCGAGTTTGTTTAGGAACGCAGGTCTCTCCGGGGCTCTTGCGTTCTGGTCAAAAGCAAACCACCAGGATATGGACCGCAGGTTTTAAGTCTTCCCGAGATGACCCAGAGCCACTTCTCCAGGAGCGGGACTCCTACTACATCTTGGGCCTTCCGGGCCCCGCGGCCAGTGAGGAGGAGGCATGGCCCGATGGCGGATGTGGGGAATGGGCTGAGATGGGGCTTGGGCTACTTGCCCGGAGCTTGGGGTTCAAGGCCAAAGCTTGGAAACCTCCGCGACTTCTGGTTTTGGTGTAGCCTGTTGTGTCTGAACCCACCGTCAGGTTGGCACTAGCACATATCAATCATTGGCGGCTGGAATCAAAAAGTTTTAGCTTGAGAAAGAACCTGGATGAGTTGGAGGCTAGGGTCTCCTTGGGCAGGGGTTCTGTTGTTGAAAGCCCGAATTCGGACACCAGTCCGTCGCTTGGCTGCGTGGGCAACTTTTCTCCCATGAAGGTTGCTTTCTGGGGGGGTCCCGGTCGGGGCTTTTTGCATTCAGGCGCGCACGGGATGCCCAGGCAAATGCCAGGGATGCTCAAATTGAATTTGTTGCCACAAGGCCAGCCCGTTGAGTGCATCGCACCCCCTCAAACACGTCCCCCAGCAAAGCGTCGCGAAAGAACCCGCAGAACAGTGTTGCTGTTACACTGCCGGAGTGCTGTGTGTCGTCCCAAACTCCCCAATAGACTTCATTTGTCCTGCCCAGGCAGACTGAGCACAAATTCAGTGAGAAGAACAAAGAAGCAAAGGATAGATGTACCCGTACCAGACAACTGGCCTTAAACCTCACCTTGTTTGGTAATGAGCTCAACAAGGAATGCAACCTTTTGTTCGCAACTAATCTCCTCCCCCAATTAATGAATGACCCCCATTAATAATAAATGCAAATCCGGGGCCCGAGACCAGATTTCCACTCCGCACAATTGATGATTTTTAATTGCGCCAATACTAAACCAATACTAAAGTCTTGGAATCCTTATTAGGGGGGACTTTTAACAAGCTTCCAGCCCCACTTTTAAGCTGCGACTGTCTCTCCCCCATACATGCTGGCTAACCTGCCTGGCTGCCAACAAACAACCAGTAAACTGAAAGACAAATAGAATGATACATGAAATTTCCTTATTAAACCGCTTACTCGCGGACCTTACAATTCAATCCATTTCCTCCAAATCCTATGCGAACCCTCACATTGTCGGAAAAGCAAAAAAACCCAACCCCGAAAACCCCAATTAAAAAAACATCTATTTTTGGGAGGATTTATTTATAATAGGGGGGGGGGGGGCCGTATTTATTAATAGGGGGAAGAGATTAGCAGAGCACAGACGTTGGCCAGGCAAGGCTGGACTCTCCGTTTGACGGTTGCTATGATTGACGAAGCGCACCGCCTGGGCAAGAACATGACTGGCGTGCATTTGGCGTTGAGAGGAGTTCGAGAGGTCCTCATGACAGCCGATCTCCCCATTCCAGAGTTCGCCGCAGATTTGCAGTGCAAGTGTTGGGCGAAAGGTGACGCGACACCTCCAAACACACTACAAGGTATCACCCAGCAAGGGAGACAGGGGGCGAGTCCCATAAGCGATTTTGCGGGACAACCTTAGCCCTGCGAAACGGTTCGCAGTCTCACCCGGTGATTCCTTCAGAACCAGCAAGAGCCGCTGACTACTGTATGGAAGGGGGAAAACGCATCCATGAGGGACCACTCCCCATACATGTTGCCTCGGCAAGGCGAATCATGTGAGCAGCGACCAAAGTCATTTGTTTTTTTAGCTGGTGCCGAGCTTCCAAAGCAGACCGTTTGATTCGTGTGAGCCTTGACACACACATGCAGGTTAACCACAAATATGTCCATTCGTTTGTGGTCAATTCTTCCGGGCATTGAGGGGATCTCTAGATGTTCAACCAACAGGCGGGACCCTCTCATTCTCCCGCACACATTTTGACTGCAACTCATGCCGCGTGTTGGGTAGACTATCTCAAGGCTTTTTTTATGATTTTGTTTTAATGCAATTTCCGCTGAAAGTGGGGTCTTGGTAGTTTGTCACCAGACTATTCCCTTTGAGCAACTTGGACCCCCCAAAACATCGTACCCCAAACAAAAAGACGCGCGCGTTCATGTTCCCTCGCGCAAGGTGAAGAAGGCCTATAGGAACCTGGCGAGGAAGGAGCATCCCGATAAGGCTGGAAGGGGACAAGGGCACTTTTCATTGCCAGGGCTTAGCTTAAACATGTGCCCAGTGTCCCCAGCAGGTCAGGGTCTTTGGGTCAAATCCGCTGGGCTGGTTCGCAAAGCTGGGATCGCTCAAATGACATGGTCTTACAAACATGTTCTTTGGAGCTGGGGTCAAAACCTGAGGGGCCAGGTGAGTGGGTGGAACAACTGAGGGCTTGGAGACTTTCGGGACATTCGCTTTGCATTGCATTGCTTTTGACTTTCCTTGTGCCTTGGTTTAGGAGCCCTTTTCTCCTCCTTTTGACGCAACTGCCAATGTTTGCAGTAGTGAGCTCCCCCACGGCATGGTTCCTTGGCGTCAGGCGGGCATCGGCAACAAGAAGCGGTTCCAGGCCATTCAGCAGGCCTACTCCTCCATCCTGAAGCAGAGGCCGGCGCGGTGGGTCGCGCAGATTTTGGGTAAGGTAACCCTAACCGAAGGGCACCAAACAAGACCCCCCCACAAGGGCCCGCAAAGCAAAGCGTTGAAAGCGGGGTGGCTTCCAAGTCACCAGGTAAGAGGGTTTAGTTGGAAATCACCCATCACTTTCTTGGGTGGCGGGTGGGTCTCCATTTGGGGACATGTAACAACATACACACCCATGTGGGTCAAGTTGCCCCTCTTGGGTGAAGGGAATCAAACTTCAAGCACCTTGCTTTGGCCTTTTGGGGTAGGGCCTGTTCCGTCTTCATGCGACCAAAATCAATGAGACATCGGGGCCTGGTCTGTGAGGGTCACGCGGTGGTCATTGGGATGCATCACCACATTTCTTTTGGTTTCAGATGAAATGGAAGCAACGGAATCTTTCAAGGGGCTTTTTTGGCCCCCCAAAACCTGGCATATGCCCGAAAGAGGGACGGGGAAGACTCGCTTTCGAACGAGTCGGCAGGCAGTTCGGCGGGTCCGTGGCCGTGCCAGAGGCGCGGATTTCGACATCTTCGTTTTTGTGGGGGGGTAGAAAATTGGTTGCGACCTACTTCGTAAGTAGTTTGCAGATCTCAGTTGAAGCTTTTGCAGTTCAATGCGCAGCAATCAAGGTTTGCTCCTCTTAAGGACATAAAGGGACCCCCTTCGAGATGAATTTACAGTTGGGCTCCCTCAAACGGTTTTGCCGCCAGTAATTTCTTGGGGATCGAGTTCTGGCCAGGACACCAACGAAGAAGAGAGCCCCAAGGTGGTGCCGGACTCAGTCGATGGGGGACGGCGCACAGACCGCCGCAAGTTTGGAACACATGCTTTGACCCGCTGAAGTGGAGGTTTCCTCTTGAGATCGATGCTTTTACCCAACCTAAGGCGTCAATCTCAGGCCCAAGTCGGGGCAGCTTGCTGTTTTGTTGAATGTGCCATGTCACCAACACTCGTTGTGTCGCTTTGAAAACCACCTGAGAAGGGGGGTCCAGATGTCCTTTGAGTAGTTTGGCCAACCTTTGGCCAACCTTTGGCCAACCTAGAAAAACCAAGAGTCGGGATTCATGTGGTGAGTGAAGCAACTCCAATGCGTATCTCAAAATCGCGACCTCTTTTCCAGCCCCACGCCCCCCCCACGCCCCACGCCCCAAATCAGCAAAAAAGGCTTGGGCCGTCCCTGCCAGGTGGACTCGGCTGTGCTGCAGGAGTCCCTTCACTATGCCAACGAGGAGCGGCAGCCGATCGCTCGCTCGCTCGTTTCAAGGGAAAGGCGGGGGTCTCCCCCGACCTCTTAGCCAAGGAACCCCAGAAAGAGGCAACTTGCCGAGTTCGGCCCATGGGGAAGCGTCGATATGTTTGCAATGCTGAAGAACTTTGGGCAGCCCCATTGGAAGCGGGAGGTGGGATATTCCCCATTTAGGAAGTGCGCTCGTGGCCAGGTCGTGGGAAGAATTATTCCTGGTTAGGCAAGAGGAACGCTGGCAGCCTGTTGAAGATAGTATTCCGGAACCTTCCGAGAGCACCTTAAAGATGAATGGCGTGACAGAGCCAAGTCTTCACATAGCCTCTACACAATTTTATCTCCCTTTCCTTGTTGTGGCCGCACATTTCGTATGCTCCCCAATGTTCGGGTTTGGGGATTATCCGACGCAAGCCATATGCGGGTCGGCCGGGCTACATTGCTTTGGGTACGTTGCATCCCCATCCGGGGTGCTTGTCTGGAGGGAAGGCTCTTGGGATTGAATGCGGGGGTGTTTTCTTGAGCCTTTCACCTCCGGCCTTCGATTGAAACTTAAACCTCACCTTCTTTTGGGCCATGGACTTTGCATTGCGAGCCCCATGCCTGCTAGATTGCTTGAGTCTCCACTTTGTTCAGCGGCACCCTCTAATTCCCCTGTCGTTTGCTGGGTTCGCCATGGATTTGACCCCAAAAAAAGACTTGGTGCCCTTTTTCTGTTCCCGCAAATTCCTTCGGATCGATTGCAACTGCTTACGAATGCTTAGGCGCACCAGTGCGCGGACGAGGTGGCCCAGGGTGGGCACCGCGCCCTGCGGGGCTGGGAGGAGTCTGAGGCGCGCGCATGCGCGCTTTCCGCGCCTTCAGCAGCTCGTTGGGCTCGTTGGACCCCTTTGGGTTGGTGTCCCTTTTTTGGTTTTGCCTTACCATGGACCACAGCTTTTTTTTGGAAAGCACCCTTTTTGGGTGGAGTTAAATATCACCTTTTATTTGGGCGCATTTGAAGTGGGGGGAAGAAAGCGGGTGAGTGTGGCAGCGGGGGGTTGTCGGGTCTTCTTGAAGTGTTCAGCTCCCCTCAAACAGGTTTGCCGTTGAAAAGTTCTTCGGCCTCTTGGGATTGTTGCAAGAAAGACCAGCCAAGGGATCTATGAATGGGTTTTCACTTTGGTTCTTAGTAAAATGCCCGCCGCCTGGGAAAGGGGACTCTGAACTTTGGCGGGGAGTTTCAGATAAGTGGGTTGGTGGTCTTGAGGGTGAGGTTTTATTGGGAAAGCCACCATTTTGATTGTGGGGGCCACACCTGGCTCAGGGCAGCAAGCGCCGATCGCTGAAGGGCCTTCGCGATCTCACTCGCCGGACCCTGAGGGGCCTTCGGTAGATTTGAGCCTTTGGCTGGTAAGTTTGAGTGGATTAGGGGCATATTATACGCCCTGCCCCCTCTCAATCGAAGGTGTCTTTTTGGGGCCCATGGCTGGTTGGCGAAGCTCACTCATCTCAAACTGAGCATTGTGGATCTTTGGGACCCGGTGGATTTCATGGTAACCATTGGAACGGTTGTGTGGGGACTTGCCCATAAGAAGCTGTGGGAATATGTTCCCACGATCGCGGCGAGCCAAAGGTTTGTGGGTCTCACTCCTGCAGGCTGGGCAACCCTCTCAGGAAATGACTATATATTGCCCTGAATTGACATTTTCCGCAACTCAGCCTGAATGCTGCTGGTTGGCCTTGTGTTTGATTTCCGTTTTGCCTTCACCGACTCCAGATCGTGAATTCCAGCGTAAGGATTGACCAACACGTGGCAATGACCAGCCAGCCCCCCTGGCCTCCTTTGAACTACATCCAGGAGGTTGGTTAAACAATCTTGTTCTTCTTCTCTGCCGCCTTTGTGGCCGCTGTGGAACTGCTGAAAAAAGAGCTGCGTGACTACAGCCTGATTCCTGAGGCCACAGTGCTTCCGAACTGCGAGGCAAGGGGCCCGGCGAACCGCCGCACAACTCCATGGGCGTGTGGGGTTGGTTGCACAAGGATTGAATCCTTCAAACAGATTGTGAATTCATGTTTATGGGACACATAACATGACGTAATTTGTCTCTAATTTGTTTCAATCAAGAATTGGTCGCACCAGAGTCTCATGTGCAAAAAAACCAAGGAGCACCACCAGATCCCTAGCGAACGGTCAAGGAGATTCCCAGGATGCCTTTGATGGTTGACACCCTAGCCTTTTTTGGTTGGAGAAAGGGAGATGTTGGGAAGGGATGGAGAACATGCGGAGGCACGGGTTGCAGGGGATGCAGGGGATGCAGGGAATGCAGGGGGTCGCAGGGGGGATGCAGGCAGCGTTGCAGGTCAATGGATTCAGAAGATGCACGTTGTGAGGGATGTGAGGGATAGCGATGGAAGGGATGCATAGTGGATGCTGAAAATGCAGCGGATGCGGAGCGAGGCATGTGGTGTACAGACGCGAGGGATTGATGCATAGCATGCAAGGATGCGTGTGATTCTGCTGATGATGTAGCTGATGCATGTGATGCATGTAATGCGGGTGATGCGGGGGTGATGCCAGTGATGCGGGTGATGCGGGTGATGCCGGTGATGCCGGTGATGCGGGTGATGCAGGTGATGCAGGTGATGCGGGTGATGCAGGTGGTGCGGTGCGGGCGGTGCGGTGATGCAAGGATTCAGGAATACATCCCAAACCACGCAGATTCGAAAGTCGCTTCTGGAGGGTTTTATGGCCAGCGAAGGACGAACCACTTTCCTGTTTGAGTCTGCAGGGAGTTCGCATATTGCGCTCCCAGAGATTTAGGACTTGGGACCTAAACAAAGTCCCCTTAAAAATCTGGGTGGCGTCAAGCCACAAGCATCATGTGTGGGAGTCTAGTGTTGCCGGCACTGTTGGAGTTGTTTAACGGGAAACCGCCCAGGGTTCCATCCATGTCCTGTTTAGAGAGGAACCTGCAGACTGTAGACTGGTTGGTTTGTTCTCCGAGCCTTTCGGGTTCCTCCTATTTTCCGGGATCGCGTGTCAAGAGCAATCGAGAAAGCCGTACTGGGAGAAGCGGGGGCCGCAACCCATCTCAGGATGAATCCGGTCACTTTTTGGAGAGTTGCACTTCCACGCGCCACCAGGTTGATGAATCCAACTGCAAAGTGTAGCTCGACCCCCAATTGTGGGGATCCCCGAAACGGAGATCCAAGATTTTGGACTTAGTTTGCACCCCCCTTCCCCCCCAAAAGCGCCGCACTTGGCACGCCGCAAAGACAAGATTCGATCTGGGTGTGTCTCAAAATGTTCAAGAACTAGGGCAAACCGCAGGTTTTCGTCTTTCCCATTTGCCAAGCTGCCTCATTTTAGCCTCGTTTTTGGAGCGCCGCAGACACCGGTGGCGGCAACTGGACACCTCAGACACCTCCGCCCACATCTGCCGCCTCGCTCGAGGCGTGGCGCGGCAGATGCGGCAGCTGGGCCGCGCCACCGAGGCCATGACGCGCTGCGCCGAGGTGCGGGCTGTTTTGCGTTTCAGTTTTTTGTGAACGTCAGGTTTTTGGTCTGGTGGAGGCCAATGGCCGTTTTTTTGGCCTGTTTTTCTTTTTCGTTGGGGGAGGGGTCCGAAAATGGGGTTTTGGAAAAATGAAGGTGATGCCAAGAGAATTTGCTTTGGTAGAGTCGTGGTAATCAACCACACGGCATCACAGCAAAGGCTTGTTTTCCACAACCATAGTGGAAGTGCTAATTGAGCAGAAGCACCCCCCGATTGGCTGCTTACAACGGGGGGCTCTACTCCCTCGTGGCCATTATAGCGGGTTCTATGTATGTGTCTTGATGGGGATAGTGGCACGGCAGTTGTCAAATCTTTGTACACGTCGTGGCGGAAGCCTGTTGTTGGCGCCTCTCAATTCAATCAGGGATCTCTGATTTCAGATTTGTCGGACCTGATTGTTCCGACTTCTGTTTTCTGGCACAGTGCTGTCTTGTCTGGTTTCGGGATTTCGAATTTTGGCATGTCTGATTGGAGGGCCATATTTTCTTTTTGTTTTTCAGGGTGGGTGGCTTTTCGTTTTTTTTGGCTTTTGTGGCTTTTTCGTGGGTTTATGTGGCTTTTGTGGCTTTGCATTTCGCATGCTCTGCATTCACAGTTCCTCTGTTTGGCTTTTGCAGGTGGCTTTTAGGCTTTGTGGCTTGTGGCGGCTTTCTGGCTTTCTGCTTTCCTTGGCCTTTGGCTTCTTGCACAGTTCCTCTCTGGTGCCCCTCCACCCCCCCTTTCGATTAGAATGCACCCCTAATTGAATCATCAGCTTATCGATCATCATGCGGCAGCCCCTCAACAACCCCCCCCCCCGCTACTTTTTAGATTTTTTGCCCCTAATTGAATCATCACTTTTCCGATCATCATGCGACAACCCCCCCGCTACTTTTTAGATTTCTTGGAGAGATTTAATTGCACCACTAATTGAATCATCACTTTTTCGTGCATCCAATTTCGCGAGAACATGCTGTAAAATACAACATTTTATGTAATCGATGTAATCTATGTATGTCGGTATGATCGACCAAGGGGAAGCCACCCCTCCCCTGCTTTTTGTATTCTATCGCACTCTTTCTTGAATCATTGCACCCCTATTTGAATCATCACTTCTTCGAACATCATGGGGGGGGTTGGGGGGGCGGCAGCCCCCCCATGATGATCGAAAAAGTGATGATTCAATAGCGGGGTTGGGGTGGGGAGCCCCGCCGCTGCTTTTTAGATTTTTTGGCGCTAATTGAATCATCACTTTTTAGATCATCATGCGGGGGGGCTGCCACCCCCCCGCCCAACCCCCTCGCTACTTTTAGATTTTTGGCCCCTAATTGAATCATCACTTTTTCGATCATCATAGGGGGGGGATTGCCGCCCCCACCCAACCCCCCCGCTACTTTTTAGAGTTTTTGCCCCTAATTGAATCATCACTTTTCGATCATCATGGGGGGGGCTGCCAACCCCCCCGCTACTTTTTAGAGTTTTTGCCCCTAATTGAATCATCGCTTTTTCCATCTTCATCGGGGGGGCTGCCGCCCCCCCAAACGCCCCTGCTATTGAATCATCACTTTTTCGATCATTATGGGGGGGGCTGCCGCACCCCCCCCAACCCAATTGAATCATCACTTTTTCGATTTTTTGCCCCTAAAATACAGGGAAATTGCACCTGTATTTGAATCCTCACCTTTACCATCATCCGGGGGACCCCCCTGCTGCTTTTTGACATGCATTGCCGGAGAGGAACTAAGCCCTCGGTTTGCTGGTGATGCTGGGGATGTTGGCTGGACATGCGGGGGATACAGCATTTTCCTAGCCAAGACGGAAAGCAAAACAAAAACCAAAATAAAGCAACAAACATCCCAAATCAAATCTCGACCCTGTCTGATATTCAGGTTCGGAATCATGGCCACTCTTGTTTCCTGGGAGGTCCCAAAGTAGGTTGGCCTCATTTTGGCTGGACATACCACTCGCAAGGCAACATTTAACTTTGAGGGTGGAAACCGAATGGGGCCAGGATGCTTCCCATTTTCCAAGTGCTGCAGCCCCAAAGGCGCCCTCCAGCGTCTCTTTCTTCGGGGCCGGTGCGCAAAGCCCAGACTCCCCATGCAGATTTAGGTGAAACCAGGAAAAAAACATTTTAGAGGAGCTCGTTTTGGGGGAACCTTTCGCAGCTATGCTTTTACTTCCGCAGCCTCTCCAACCTCCGACCCAAATGGAGGCAAGGATGGCGCTAGTGCCTTCGTGCGGTAGTTTTCGCTACCACAACAAGTTTATGCTCTGGATGTCGGCAAACCCAGGGTGGAAGCTGACTTTGGACTATGACTACATCGCGGAAGCAACAGCTCGATATCATCCTAGTCCTCCTGCAGACTGTAGTTGCCAAAATGGCAAAGCTCATACACTCAAGGCCACAAGACCCCCCGAGCTTGATCGGTAAGGCTTTTGGTACAGCCTCAAGGGTTTGTTCAGGGGAACTCTGTCGGGTGTGCCTGGGGAGTTGGGTTCCAAAGTGCCCAGCCTAGCAGCAAAAGCACAACAGACCCGATTCGGCCCCTTGGCCTGCATTTTCCGGCAAACCCAAAGGAAGTTCTCTAAAGCAATAGGTGTTGAGAAACCAGCGGTTAACCCTGACCTGTACGTGGCTCACTGCGCTGTGACACTGGGTGGTTGAAGCGACAGTCAATTAGTTGTTGTGTTACCAACTGGCATGAGAAATTTGGCGAACCCCCATTCCCGGTGGTACTCTGGCGAGTGTGACCCATCCCCGTTGCTACAGGCATTGACCGCTGTGACGTGTTTAAGCACAACCCGAAGCCCGCCAGGCCTTCCTGAATGACAACCTGGACATCGCAGATACGCTGAGCACCGGGGCGCGGATCGCTCGATTTCCAGGGTACTCCTTTTGCGCGCAGAAGGGGTCCTTTCCTTGTCCAACTCTTTCGGGCTTTCGAAGATTCCCAGTCGAGATTTGGCAAGGTCCCAAGAAATCAGTTTCTGTTTGATCAGTTTCTGTGGCAGCGAATCATAGTGCTAGTTTGAGGCCAATACCCACCCTCAGTACATGACAACCGCGCCCTTGAAAGTTGCGCAGCCCCAAACCCCAAGAGGCCACTTTAGTAGGAAGCTTTACTTCAGTCAATATGCGCCGTTTAATGCTGGTATAAGCAACAGTCTCAGGATTTTCATGCGCTGCACATTTGCCCAAAAGGTCAATTCACCTTTTGCTTTCAGGTCTGATGGACACCAACTGGAAGTTAGACATCAGTTCCTTATAAGGAAGCCACTGCCATTGGCGTTTGGCCATTGCATGTGTTCTCCACTTCCGATTCGCTTCAGATGGCACTCCGGGATCGCTGCGCCATCGTTGAAGACTCAGGCGCGCTGGGAAAGATGGGAGTCCCTCTTCTGGGAACAGCAAGTGGGGGCTGGTACTCCCCATTTGCTGGTGATTGATTGGTGGATGCTGGTGTAGTGGCTGGTACAACTGCAGTTGACCTCTTCTGAGATTGCTTTGCATTTGTTTTATGAAATGTGGAACAGGAGCCAGACAAGCATGATTGAACAGCTTGGTCAAAGCCGGAGGCTTTGTCCATTGAAATGAACACAGGGACCCCCGTGACGAGGGCCTTTAGACTTTGAGTGGGGATCCCGCCCTCAGAAGGTTGGGAGACAAATCTGTCTTGATGTGAGCTAATGCGTTCTCGAGTGGCTCGTATGTAAGCTGATGTGAGTCAGAGGTAAATTCTGATCTGTAGCTGATCGTTCCGCATGTCTTCGTTCTGAGTTTAGATTCGCCCATCTGACACACATGTCTCTTGTTCATAACCAGGGTTCTATGTGCAACTGTCAAGCCTGCAGTGATGGATTAAGTCGATTTAACTATGTTTCTCTGTTCATGATCGGGGTTCTATGCGACTGTCAGGTTGATTGACATGACCGATTTGTCTTTCTTTTTGATTAGCCCTTCAGCATCCCCAGCATCGTTTTCAACATCCCCGCACATCCCACCAACATCCCGAGCATCACCAGCAAATCGTGGGTAGAACAAACATAAAATGGGGCGGGTGGTAGGAGGGGTTACGCAGGTTTTGGTCCATGGTCCATGTTCCCACTTACCAGGGCAACCCATTTTGGTACCCCGGTTTTTTGAGCCTCATCCATTTGTCTTTGTTTTTGATTGGTTGGTCGATTTGTGCTGGTTCCTTTGCCTTGTGCAGGCCGCGCCTGCGTCACCTCCGCAGAGCTGCTGGAGAGGCGGGGCCGGTGGTTGGAGCGCGTCAGGCCAAGATGAAGCGTTTTTCTTTGCGAGGGAGTAGGGTTTTGTGTGTGTGTGTGTGCTTTTTTGGTGAAGGTTTTTTTTTGCTCTCTGGGTACATTCTGGGTAACGTGAAGTGAGTTTCACTTTGGGTGGGGCGACGTCCTAGGGGAAACTGTCGGGGTGCCAGGGCGCCTGCCTGTCTATCCCCCAATGTCGACCCCAAATTTATCAATCTGGTGCTTGTGATCCCCCCCAAAAAAGTGCTCTGGATTTCTTCTGAAATGGGGCACCCTCCGCAATCAACCGGAACGTTGTTATAAATGTCCATTTGTGGCGAGCGATTGCCCGCTTCTGTGATGCCACTGGTAGGCCGACTCATTCTTCATTCGAAGCAGTGGCTTCTGTGGTATCACAAAAGTGGGAGCCAACCCCAACCCTACCAACGAACATGGAAGTGCACAGGCGCTAGGGTGTGGTATAGATTCTAGCAGCCATATTCGGTGAAGCTTGAAATCTCAGCCGTTCAAGAGGTCCCATGAACTCCCTTTCAAGAAATGCCGGGCGAGCTGAGTGCTTTGGTGTGGGTTCTCTTTCAGCAGGCCGACACCCAGGCTTTGGGTTCCTTTCTTAGAGAAATCGTTTGGGCTGAATGGTTGCCAGTTTCCTCCTATCCATGACTCAACTTGGTCAAGGGCACCTGGGGGAGATGCGGGGACAAATCAGCGTTGGACACGACATCATTTAAAGTGCCATCGATATGTGGGCCTTTTGCTGGACTAGACCAGAAAGTTTAGAGGCCCGTGTCTGAGGAAGTCTGCAAAAGAACATCGCAAACAACCAAATGCAGGTCCAAAGCTGCGCGACGGGCTCTCACCAAATTGCAAGGCAATGGCTGCAGTGGCCTGGCAAGCTGGTTGGGAGCCTGAAACTTGTGGAAAAGGCACTCGGGCTCCGAGACTTCAAGACCCGGTGGTTTGCTTTCGTCAGTTCTCCAAAGGCTATCCTTTGCTTTGCGATACGGGGGTTAGTATCGCTACCTTCAAATCCTGTGACAAAGTCAGGGACTTGCCATGAGCTTCATGCGACTTTGGAGCTTTCCAAACGCGGGGTCAGTGGCTGACAACCGGCCGAGCCATGTGGCTCTTGTCAGAATGGGAGGCCCACAGTTTGTTGGGTTTGGAAGGGCAAACGCAAGTGGCATTTGTAGTTGGGGGTAAATCGCCTGTGGTGCTGAGCCAAAAAGCTTTCAGATGAGAGTTGGCTTCCAGGATCCAGGTTCCATGGCTAGTTGTTTTGAAATCCACAACGAGCGGCAATACTTTGAACCCCCGTGCTCGGCTGGCCAGGATTGGTGAGGCCACCGAGGCGGGAGAACACTTGGTATCTTGCAGGCTGAGCAATGATTTCGTCTCAACGAAAGGCGGGGGGGCCACCACTCTTTCACTCAACGGCTGCCACCCTACATTGATAGTACAATTCTTTTGAGCAATTTGAATCGAGACTTCACCGACCGTGGCTTTGCCAGTGAAGACTCATGATAAAGGTTCTTTCCATACGGAATTTGTTTTTGAGGATACCCCATTTTGGGGATCCCACATCAGGTGTTTCTCAAAGTGGGGCACGGGAGCGTATGGGGAAGCGCTGGGGGCAACCATGGTTTCGCCTGGTACCTACGGTGAGCTTGCCGGTCGGATCTGGCAATGGCACAGAGCCAGTTGCAGCTTAAGCGAATCGGGCTGAAGGGTCTGAGCACAAGAGCTCGCGCATCGAATGGGGCCACACGCGCGCTCCCCGCGTTTCGAGCAGAATCGAGGTGAGCTAATTGTTTGCCTAGTGTCTCCTTCCTTGGCCACCGTTTCAACCCCTTAAGGAGATTCTCCCAAACACCCTGATGTCGAATCTTAGCCGCGCTCGCTGAAGTGTTGGTGTCTTTCGGAGGCCACGCTGAGGAAGGTGGAGAAGGCGTCGCCGGACGCCGGCGAGGCGCGCTGTTGGGGGAGGGGGGGGTTTAAGGGAGACCAAAAGGAAGCAGCACGCGAGACATGGGCGGCCCTATGTTGGCACATACACCCATGGCTATTTTAGAGGAATCTCCAAAAATGCGGCGATCGCTTTGTCTGGGGTGGAGCAACTTCCTCGCAAACGGATTGCGGAATCCCGGTTCCCTTGTTGTAGTGGTTCCACAGGTTACGGATTGGTATGAAGAATGCCCCATGTTGAACAGGTTAGTAGGGGACCAGTCCTGCCCATGAATATGGGTGTGTCTATTTTCGAGCACCCCCAAAAAATAAACCACTCAAAAAAAGACACACCCGTGTAGGTGCGGAAAGCTTTCTGCGGAGGTGCGTCAAAGCGAATTAACGAGCTGCCCCATGAAGATCCCAGCGCTAAACATCCAACTAGCAAGGACCCGGGCCCGGGTGTATCTACAGTTTCATTGTCAAAAGTTGGTGGGACAAGGCTACTTGGACAGTTTTTCCACCTTTAGCTCAGGAAAGCCACTTGCTTCTTCTCAGGAATGGAGTTTGTACAGATGGGTTCTACGGAATCGTGGAAAGGTCTCTTTTCACACGCTCATTACCGGATGGGCAGACAAGGTTCGAGAGGATTACAGGCAATGTCTTTGGGACACCTCCGAAGCAAAAGTTGGGCATTGGGGAAAACAACTATAGCTTTGGCCAATGGTCACCGTTGAAGGGGACCAGCCAACCCTGCTCCGGAGCCCAAGTTGCTCCAGGGTTCAATATACTTCCTCTTTGGGGCTGGTTTGAACATCTCCTTTTAAGGCCATTTCAATTGAGTTTGCCTTTGGGGTGAATTTTCATGGACTCTAAACAACTTTTCGGGACTAGTTTGGTGGCAACCAAACAGTTTGGACCATAGGCTCCTTTTTGGTTGGTGTTTGCCCTTGTTTACCTGGTTCCAGCATCTACCAGGGCCATCTATGTTCCAAAAGGGACAGCTTGGGTTGGACCTGTTTTGGCCAATGCGACCCCCCCCCTTGTCGGGGGCTTCTCGCTCGTGTGCGCAGGGCAACAACCTGCTCCGCCTGGGCACGCGGCTGCTCACCGAGAGCCTGGCTCTCGGACTCCGAAGCTGAGGTTCCGTCTGGCTGGATGGGTCCCCCAATTTGGCTGTGGGTGTCAAAACCGGTTTGGGATCCCATTTTTGGGGGTAGGTGAATTCACCACCCATTTTAGAACCTACGCCAGTGGTTGGATTGGGATGTTCGCTGAGATTACGATTTGGATTTTGACCCATGCCCATATCTCTTAGCCGGATGGACAAAAATCCAGAGTTGGGATGGATGAAACCCCGTAAAAGACGACAGATTTGTGGTTCTTCGATGTTGTTTGCCGGTCGGAACCTTGGTCGCCCTTCGAAGCTTTGAGCCCTCCAAAACAACGGGGTGGAATGGAAGGACGGCTGGTTTCACAAGACGGGCCGCACATACTCCACATTCCCCCGTCCTTCAATTTGTCTCTTGATCCCAATTGCCCTTATTTGCCAACCATTTTGGGAAATCCCCCACTTAGACGTGGAAAACCCCACCGACCTGCCCCACCCGCCCTGCCCCACCCGCCCCCACCGCCAAGCTTCGCCGAGGCCTCGCGCGGAGCGCTGCGGTGGCGCGGCGCACCGCGGAGGAAGCGCTGAACGCCGCCGGCAAGGCGAATGGGATGCGACGGGTAAAAGGGGGGGAGGGGATCTTTTTTTTTTCTCCCCGCCCTTAAACCCCCCTGGAAAAGGACTTGGCAAACAAAAAGGAGCAAAAGGAACTGGCAAAAGGATTTGTTTGTGAGAAAATTGGCGACCCCCTTAAGAAGGAATCCTTCACTACGAGGGGGTCGAACAATTCTCCACAGAAGGTGGCAAAAAGACCCCCTGGATGTGATCCTTTCTTGGTAAATAATGTGGTCATGGATGGGGCAATGGCAAACACATCCGTGGAAGGCTTTGGGGCAACATCAGCGAGATTGGGAAGCCCACACATATGTGATTATAGGATTCAATTGTGATGTTATACATGTTTGGTTTTGATGTCAACGCTTGCTGGGCAATGACGTGAGTCTTTGAATATGCCGAACAGTGCTTGAGAGGAGAGATTTTGATTTTGCTCTCATGAACAGTGTCCAGTGAAGATTGCTCAACAGCCGTTCCCTTCCAAGGATCGGCAGCAGGCAGCTGCCTTTTGCGTATGAATAAAAGCTGGCTGCTTGCCTGACTGCCCGACTGCCCGGCTCGCTGAGGCCTGGCCTCTTAGTGCTACCCGTGCCAAGCCCGAAATCCAGCCGTTCTGTTTACTCGAGCCTCAGCGAGCATCTCCAGCCGAAGGCGACTACGCTGGCATCACCGGCCTGGCCACATCCTGGCTGGCCGCCTTTCAAACGCCATCCTCCGGGCTTCAGAAGAGCTCGTGTGGAGGCGAGTGGCGAAGACTGTTTATGCTGAAGCTGCAGAGGCTTGGTGTGCTGCAGGTCTCAACGCGCTGGTAAATGCTCCCTGTGCTTGCGTGCGGGGGTTTGAAAGGCAATGGGGCCAGGCGTGGCAATGCTGGTGATGCCGGTGATGTCGCTGCTTGATGCCATGGCTGGATGCAGTAGTAGTTATTCATGACACAAAAGGCTTTTCACTGAAGAAAGACTCAGCTGCCTGAAGGGTCATGGCCCGCACCATCTGAAAAAAGCTTTAAGTCTTGGACAGCTTCGCCGCGTCAAGTGGAAAATGAGGCGGGCCGAAGGTCTGCAGACTCGGACTGGCTTCAAGCCCCCAGCTTGAAAGGAGAGCGCCGAAAGCCAAAAGAAATCAAGCTGCCGAAAAGGCAAATCCGAAGGCTAAGGTGCAAGCTGCGAGGCATATGTGCTGTTTTTCGACTGCTCGCCAGCCACATTTATTTGGAATACGCTGTTTGCTGAAGGTCTGCATCTGACGACATCAATCCCAAGCTTGAAAGGATAGCATTGAAGCTGAATACCATGCCACGGAGCTACTCATGCACTGGACTCTGGACCCAATCAAGGAGCCTGAGAAGCGCGGGTGCCGTAAGCTGTGTATGGCGTACAGCCGAATCAGAGGCCTTTGGCCCAACCCTTGGATGACCACATTAGTTAAGTATCCCGGTCAATAAGTCCCCATTCCGTGGGTGACATGCAAGTTAGGGGACTGAAGTGGGGTTTCATTTAAGGCACTTTAGTGGGGCAGAGCCAAACGGGTGTCTCAAAATCGGGGACCTGGCTTCCTGTCTGGCTCCGCAAAATGGGGATACTTCAAATGTCTAGGAAACCAGGAAACTCTACAGGAACTCATTCCCTGTTTTTTGTTGAATTGGCATGAGAAATCCAGTTTCGCAAAAACAAACCCACCCCTGTTTCTTTGTGGGAGATGAAAACTCCCAGTTTCGCAAGTGGCCGGGTCCCCAAAAGCCGCATGGCTCTCGCTTTCCGCGAGGCTCTGGACCTGCACCGAGGGATGCTGATGCTGGACGCGGAAGCCCGCAAGGCGCGGGGCGCGGGGCGGCGTCAGAGGTAGCGTGGCTCCGAGGTTTTTGGAGTTGGCACGAAACTCTTTGTGCGTTTTGAACGGGACACCAAGAACCAGAGGGACACTTTTTGGGTCCTATGGTTTAAGATAAACTTAAAACATGACTTGTAATTGGGGATGCTTTGGTGGCATTATCTACATTGGGATTCATGGACATTATTTACACGGGGATGCTTGGACGTCATTGACAAGGGGCCTTTCGATTCGATGTATGATCGCTCCCCTATTCATCGACAGTTGTTTTTGAAATCCGGGTTCACCTTCTCCCCCCAAGGCAAAACAGGGCCGAAAGGGCACTTCCTTGTCGGTTTCAAAGGGAAGAAGCAACCATGCAAAGTAAGGAACCTCACCTTCCGAGGTTTGAGGCTATCAAGAACAACCGCTAGGCACCCACTCCTTGCAAAATAGACATTCTCTAACGGGCTCTCCTTTGGGGGGACCACCTTTTCCGGTCCCATGTTAACCTGCAGAGAGGGAGTTCCTCACGTGGATGTTCAAACTAGGCCGCAATCCTGGTTATGTGCCCAAAGAGTATGATGGATATCTCAGTTTCCCTCGCAAACAACCCAGAAGGGGGCGAAACACCGCCGCCACACCCATGCTTCAAACAACCCAGCAAAACCCAAAGGAAGCCATTTGGTGGAGTTCTTTGGGGAGTTGGTACTTACTCTGTTTGGCTGGAGCTCACTACCATCAGCTTGGGGCCGGAAGATCGATGCATTTTGGTTCTTAGCCAAAAGTTGGTTGGCTTTTGGCAAACGGAAGCGAGTCAGAGGGAAGAAGACAACTGAAAGGATGTTGGCTTGCGACCTCTATTTGGGGTCTCCAAATTTGTGTATTGGGTAGATATATGACACAGAACCAGACAGATATGGGTGTGGCTCAACATTCAAGAGCCGGGGTTCCGCGGCTTTTGGTCTTTGGTTCCATTTACCAGGCTGCCGTTTTGGCACAGTACATGTCTAGGTCTCCCAGTAGCTTTTTTGGTTGGGAGGGTTCCCTTACTCAAATCGACTACAGCAAAAAAGATCGGGTACCAACTTATTCTAACCTCTCAAATCTGGAGGACCTAGATGCATTTGAGCCACGGGAAAATAATTCTTCTGTGTACCCCTTTGGCGCTTCCAGGAGCGCGAGCGGCTGCGGAAGCGTCACGACTTCGAGGAGGACGAGCCGGTACCGGCGCCCGCCGGGGAGCCCGGAGTCGAGCCAGTTGGACGTCGGTGGAATTTTGGTGTGGTTTTGGTGTTGTTGTTTTTTTTTCTTCTCTGTGTGTGTGTGTGTGTTTCTTTGCGTGTGCGTGTGTGTGTGTGTGTGTGCGCGCGCGCGCGCGCGCGGGTGTGTGTGTGTGTGTGTGTGTGTGTGTGTGTGTGTGTGTGTGTGTGTGTGTGTGGGTGGGTGCGTGCGTGCGTGCGTGCGTGCGTGCGTGCGTGCGTGCGTGCGTGCGTGCGTGCGTGCGTGCGTGCGTGCGTGCGTGCGTGCGTGCGTGCGTGCGTGTGTGTGTGTGCGCGCGCGGGTGTGTGTGTGTGTGTGTCTATCAGAGTCGCATTTTGGTGTGGTTTTCATTCACCAAAATCGCGGGGGGGGGGGGGGGGGGGGGGGGGGGGCGGTGGGTGGGGGGGGCGGTGGGTGGGGCGGGCGGTGGGTGGGGGTGGTGTTGGCTGGAAAAACTGGGGGAGGGAGTTATGCGTCAAGATTGAGGGGACACCCCCAGAACAAGATGAAATGGGTTGATTCTTTCGAGCCTCCAGCAAATGGTGGAACGTGGACCGAGGGAAGGGGGTTGGGTCCTATTTGAATCGCAGGCTCCGCAGGACGGGCAACATCCAGAAAACCCACCAGTTTTTGCTTCATCACCCCTATGTTTCCCGAGGGTTTCTTCCATCCAAAGGACCGGTTGATGATTTTTTTTCGGTGCCAGCAGATGGCCCAACTTGTGGCGAACAACTTTCACTCAGTTGAGGTGAGAAGGATCGATCCCGCTGGTGAAGGTGGCGAAAGAAACCAGTTTTTTCCAGCCCGATGGCTTAGAGGTTGCTACTCTAGGCCAAAAAAACTGTCCTGGTCAATGTTCTCCTCCGCACCCAGCACCTCGCAAGAACACCCTTTGCAAAGAGTGCCTCAGGATCACTGTGGCATGATCAAGACACCCACTTCACATAGGGATACTAAGGATGGTCATGCACCTCGGGGATTTTTGCCAACCAATGCACACATGACCATGGTTAGGTTCTGGTTGTCAGAGTGGCAAAGGCTCCTTATATGGCACATGTGTGACCAACCGCTAGCTGGGTTCCCAACATCAGATACAGCTCTTTGCAAGAGAAGCGGATGTCAAGAGTCCCCGATTGGAAAGCAGCCAAAGATCTTAGCTGCCTACCCCCCAAAAGTTTGTTCCTCCCTCGTCCGGCACGCTTCCCACTGGCACGCTCAGAACATGGGTGAGGAGCCAAGCCCCGGAAGTCGTAATCATTCTTGCCACGGACCCCTTTCTTCTCAGAAAATCGACGAACCTCCAAGGGGATGGGGCCCCCTGTTTTCAATCCCGTTTTTGTGCCCATCAGCCAAAGCAGGATGTAATCAAAACAACAGGTTTGCGGCTGGGGGGGGGGGCCGAGCTCAGCACAGGACGCGGAACGCAAGGAGGCCCCGAAACCTGCCACAAGTGCGCCCGGCTTTGGGAAGGTCAGGCTGACCCTGCTGGGGTCATTATTTTGACTCGGTTGTGGGGGTAATCAATCCAGAACATGTTTCCCTTTCACCACTTGGCGGGTGACTTTGATGCTGGAAATATTGAGGCCACTGCCAAAGACATTTGGAAGGGTCCCGGGGGTTCGTGAGACTTGCTTAGGCCAATCAAGTCATTTTTTGGCCGGTTTGGGGGGACAGCAGGAGCTTTTTTTTGAGGTGGCAGGGGGGCTGGGTCCCTGAAGAAGGGATCATCATCCGTTTGGGCAAGGAATGGCGATCTTAGCGGGTCGGGCGGCCGCAAGATCCGCCATGCACATTCGCATGATTCATCTGTGTACATGTGGCAGTCGGTTGGAAGCTCCGACCTGCTCGTTGGCTCGTTGGTGTGGCAACGTGCGCACAGCCTGCGGGCGTTGGCTCGCACCAGAAAGCTTCAGCAAAAGGATCTTCGAAATGTGTCCGGTTCCATCCTTGACCTAACTCCCAGGCCCCGCTTCGCGGCGAGCAAGTGAGGTCCACGCTCTCGCGGTTCGACGGTCCGCCTCTCCCATCGTTTAGCTCTTGCCTTGTGAAGACCCGGGTGCCACAGGTTTCCCTCTAAAAAAAACATATATATATATATATATATTGTATTTTAATATAGATGAATATGTAAATATCCGCGTACATGACTAGGTAGAGTTATGCATTTGTAGCATACGTATATCTATGCTCACTGGTGCTCACTGGTACAGATAGGCACGCTGGTGTGTATATACATATCTCGAATTCTCTCTCTCTCTCTCTCTAGATATACAGTTTAATATATATCTATATATACACACACCATACATGAGTGCGTGCCCACATAGCATCCGACGATATTACCACCAGAAACCGATAGCGGCCAGCCCAAAACCATTACCGCAGTAATGTTCGCCAGCCCAAGCAAACAGTCTATCAAGCACACACACACACACACACACCCAGACAAATCACCATCTGATCATTGCCAGACTTAACAACTTACCTTCAGCGAACATCTTTCTGCTTCTTCTTTGGTACTTTCCCTCACCAGCCACGCGCTTTGCAGCACTTGTCGAAGGGTCGGATCACTCCGGCCGCTTTGGGGTGGCGCATGGACCCGGAGCTCTCGGAGCTCTTGGCGCAGCTGCGGGGCGAGGCGGCGGCGGCCCTCGAGGCGCTGAGGGCGCTGCGGGCGCGGCTGCCGCGGGAGGCGCCGCAGCTGCGGCGCTGGGCGCGGCCGGCGCTGGGCCGCGCGTGTTGCGAGGCGGAAGGCGGGGGGGGTGGGGGGGCGGGTGGTTGGGGGGGTTGGGGAGGCAGGGGGGGAGCTTTGTTGGGAACGGCTTGGGGGATTGGGGGGGGAAGGGGTTGGAAACTCCACCCTCGAAAAGTGGATGGAAAGGGCCACACCCAGTGCTTCCAGTAACTGCTATGGGTAAACAGGCGCACCAGAGTTAAGGGGGAAATCCCGGCAACCCTAGCGGCAACTGGAGGCAGGGGAAAACCAGGGTAAACTAGCAAACAGTTTCAAGACCTTATGCCGAGTGGAGTTTGGGTACTGACATAGGAGTTCACCATGATGTAGGTCCTCAGTCTAGGGCTCCAAGTCGTCTTTTCTTGGAACTACGGGTCGGGAAGTAGGCCAAGGAGCTGCGTTTTTGGCATTTTGGTTCCAGCCGCAGATCTTTCTCCGCCACTCGTTTCCATTCGGAGCTCTGGCAGGCGACGTGGCCTCCGGGGCCGCGGAGCTGCTCGAGCTGCTGGAGGCGCCCGCGGAGAAGTTCCTCGGGGGCCCGCGCTCCTTCCGCTGGAAAGAGGTGGAGGCCCCCTCGGGGTCTCGGCACCCACCAAGCGCAAAAAAGGGGGGTTTTGGTGGAAACAAATATATGGGAAAGACGTAGCTCACACGAGGAACCGGCAAACTACTGGTAGCGTGAATTTGGGGAGGACGTGTGGGGCCCCAAATTCAGCTCGTGCGAACCGGCAACCCCAACGAGCAGCCCCCAAGACTCCTTTTTGGCCCTGGTTCTATTACCTGGCTCAATTGAGAGCATAACAAGGCCCATGTGGGTTGTGTCCATTTTTTCGCGGGTGTCCCTTTTTGGTTGGCAAAGGGAAGCCAAAGGGAAACCCAAACAAAACCACCATTCTGGGTGGTCCCCTGAAAAAAAACAAAGCCTTTCCAACCTCAGGTTCGCAGAACGAACAGGGTGTGGTCTTGGGCGCTCTGGTCTCTTTCTTTTTTTTAAACTCGCGTGCCGAGATCGTCTACTGGGAGCTGCCGGAGATCGAGGAGGACCTGCTCTTTGGCTTCGCCGCGTGGCCCGCTGCTCAGGCGCCGCGGTTGGTTGGAACCACTTGGGGGCGGTTCCTTGGGTTGGCTCGGTGCGAGAGATGCAGGGAATGAGAAATGGACTGACCGCTATAATTGAACCATCCCCGAGTTGGTTTCCTGTGTTCGGGAATCCCCGGGTTCATTTCCTTATTGCCTACTGAGCACCAGCAAGTTGGGTTGGGGGTTGATCAAAAGCTCCTCTACATGACCATTGGTTGGAACGCCCCTAAAACGATTTGAACTTTCAGCCTCTGAATGGGAAAGGTTACCCATGGTCATTTGGGAGTTTGGGGGGCTAGGAGTTTCTGATCAAAATCATTTGGGTGTGGCTCCTTTTTTGAGTTGGACCCCCAAAAGACAGTCGACTCCAAGCATTGCACATGTAGCTGTCAAAATAGGGATTGCCAACAAAATGGAAGTTGTGTGTCTTCTTTTTTTCCATTTTTTGTTTTTGTTTTTGCTGTAAAACAAAAGCAACCACAAAAGGGGTGGCCCCAACTTCTGACGCACCAGCGTCGTTGGGGATATTCGCCACGGGTGGCTGCCAGCAAGGATGGGTTGGTTCCCACGTCCGTGATACCAGGAAAGGGTCATCAATGGAGAAGTCATTTGGAAGGCCTGCGATTGGCAATGTAATATTGCCCCCACATTTGGCAACCCCAGTTTATTAGTAGGGGGCTGTCCCTGGGTTTAGTGGGGATTCTTCACCGTTTGGAGGGAAACCAACATTATCACAATGGTTGCAATGGCCAGAGCCCTTTCTGTGATACCAAGGGTGAGCCATCCCCTTTGCAATTGGAAGGTTTGCTTGGTATCACAGAGACTGCCCGGGTTTGCCTGCTTTCCCAAACCACTATCCGGGGAGCAATTCTTTTTTTGACCCTCGCACAAGGATGAAACAAGTTAGGCGTCCTCTATGGAAAGACACATCTTCCAGGACATTCTACAGAAAATTCGCCAAGTATCCAGCAAGCTTCCTGTGCTTGGGAAATAGTTGAACCTTTTCTTCCCAGATTTTGATTTGAAATGCCGTTTTCTAGTGGGCCCCCCAGATGGGAATATGGCTGGTTTGCCTTTTTTCCTTTCACAGCCACAACAACAACGTACCCTCCCCCCAATCATCATTCGAGCTGACTGGCGGGGTTTGGAACTTCCTTTTTGGGGTACCCCCCGATCCACTCAAAGAAAGACCATAGAGCCTCCGGGGTTTCCTGGAAGACATGTTTCTTAAGAAACCCCAGTGCAGGTTTCAAGTTTGTTTTTCCCTCAAAAGACATACCAAGAGGAAGTGCATCTTCCAGGTACCACAGGTGTCATAGCGAGGAAGGGTGCCCTCAAAAAGTCAACACCCACATGTGGGTCGATCGCCATTCCTGGCCATGGGGAACTTTTCCCTCTTAGTGGTTCAAATTTGCAATTCTTTTTGCGGTTTTCCAACCAATGGTCATCCTGTAAAGGACCTGTTGATCAACCCCCAAGTCAACCCAACTTGCTTGTGCTCAGTAGGGAATGAGGGAAACCTGGGGCATCATCCTTCGGGTGGTTTTGCCAACCAACCCATCGTGTTAGTGCTTTTCCAACCCCCATGGAAAGTTCGTGGTGTTCCGACCAACGGTCATCCTGTAAAGGACCTTTTGATCAACCTCCCAAACCGAACTTGCTGTTGCTCGGGCAATGAACCTGGGCATTCCTGCATACAGGAAACACCAACCCGGGGGATGGTCATCCCATGTACCACGGAGCTTTTGATCCACCCCCCCAAGGCCCTGGCCCGACTCCTCATCGATGCGGAGTCGGAGTCGTCGGAGTCGTCGGAGTCGCCGCTGCCCTCGGTGGCGAAGAAACGCGTGCTGGAGGTGGGCGCCCTGGCGCAGAGCCGGTGGACTTTGAGCGATCTTGAGGTTGTCTGACCCGTTTTTTTTGTTTTTCCCCGGAGTTTCTTTTTCCCGAATATTTTTTTCCGAGGATGTTTTTGTCCCCCACCCCCCGAGGTGTTCTAGCCATTTTTCAGTGATTTTACAGTTTGTGTCTAGCTTTTGCTCAGAATTGCGGCTTCTTTTCGTCTCTTGTTTTGTTGTTGTTTGACACTGCTCTGGTGTTTTTCTAGGATTCGTCTAGCTTCTCGAGATTTTCTGGGCTTTTTTCAGTAGATCACGCCGTGTTGTTTTCATTGATTGTTTGGCAAACTTAACTGTTTGCCCACGCAATCCGTGCTCTGTTGTCGGGCGGGTGCTGTGTTCACCAACGTGTGGTGTTCCAGGTGGGTCGCGGATGTGGGTGAGAGAGCCTGCTTGCTACCATACGTGTGTAAATGAACCTAGCATTTGATTAGAGATAGGACTAGTGAGAGAAGCAAGGATTTAATTTACACAAACGCTATGGTTGATTAGTTTCACAAGGGAATCCCTTCAAGTCAAGAAGTGGACTCCTTTTTGAATGGGGACTCTCATTTCAGGTCACTGATTCTGGTTCTGTAGGCTGCTCATTTGCAATGGACATGTGGTGTCCATTGCGGTCAAGAGGTTGACACGTCATTTCCAGGGCCTTTGGGCAGGTGAGAGAAACAAGAAGGAAGGAGAAAAAGAAGATGAAGAACAAGACGAAGAAGAAGAGTAGGAGGAGGAGGAGGAGGAGGAAGAAGAAGAAGAGTAGGAGGAGGAAGAGAAAAAGAAGCAGACGAGGACGACGTTTGATGTTGACGATGATGACGATGATGATGATGATGATGATGATGAGGAGGAGGAGGAGGAGGGCGACGACTACGACGATGACGATGACGATGTGAACCCAAGTTTTGGAAGTTTCGTCAACTTTTGCAGGGATCACCACATTGGCACAGCCCTCAACCTGTAACAACCCACCAAAAGGATTGGTCTTGTCCACTCGAGACGCCCAGCCCCGCACCCACCGCACCCGCACCGAAACCGCACCCAGGCGCCGGGGTTGCCGTGGCCGGCCTCAGCTGCCGCGCCCTGGGCGCGGCCGTGTGCCTCAGCGATGCAGAGGAGCGCCTCGTGGAGGCGCTGAAGGCGGGAGTGGAGCAGTGAGAGATGCGGCGGGTCTCCGACCAAAGGGACGGATCCCGCCTTTTGGGACAAAGATCCCAAACGAAGTTCGGAGACTTTTTCGGATCTGATTGCACATGTAGACGGAGTTGTTTTTGGTTTCACACCGACGCTACTGTATCGCCTTTGCTGGTCGTTCCAATTTGGGATCTACTCCGAACTTGCGCATTTTAGGGTAGATTAAACCTGAAGAATCTAAAAATATGATGTGTACCCCAGATGTGAGCCAAGAAACCTAAAAACCAACATTTGTGGGTAGCATTGTGTTTTTATGGGGTTGAGGGAGGCGCAGGGTTGGCATTTGGTTTCTTCGGGTGGTGTTTGTTGGGGGGCCGGGACGCGACAGATTTGGTTCAGCCAGGCCAGGGAGACTTTTGCTGCGGAGTTTTTAGGCTTAGGGAAAGATGGTCCTGAAAATTACTTTCTCATTTGCTAATATGGCAGATGACTGGGAGGGGGAGGACCATTTCCCTCAACCGTTTGGGTTCCGTGTTAGTGGCGGGAGGGTAGCATGGAACCCCAAAAAGGTGTCACCCAAAAGAATCCTAATGACGGTTTCTTGGGTTCCATGCTAATCTGCAGGGAGCGGCATTTGAAGGGGCACCCTGATCAGTCTCAGGGAGTAAGCTGTAGGTAGTAGGAAGGTGCCAACCACCTTGCCAAGACCTGGAAGAGGTGTTTGTCATTGTAGGGGGGTTGGACATGAATGGTTGAATGACCCTTCAGCCATTGGTGGGTAAGTTGGGGCTTTTGTAAGAAATCCAAACCTGATGCAGGGTTGGGCATGTCGTTCCCTTACTTGGGGATTCCTTATTTCAGTATCATAAAAAAATGCAGGTGTGATGCAGTGACAATGTTTATGCATCTTAAGGGGTCCTGGGTTGAAGCTCGCGTGACCATGGCCTTTGACCGGGCAAAAGGGGGGGCCGGTTCACCGAGTGAAGTTGTAGAGCCCTCAAAGATGGCTTTCCAGGGTCAGGTTTGCCGGCCTGCAACAGATGGTCGAACCCGGGCAGGAAACAGGCCAATCCCCGATTCCTTTGGCTCCAATGGAAGCTTCTCGACGAGCTTCATGGTTTCTGGCTGAAGGCTTGCAGGAAGCTTACTTCGCTGCAAGTGGAAGTTGTTGTTTTTGTGCCTGGTGCCGACGTGTTTTCCGGAACGGTTCCCTGAACCTGTTCCTCAGTTTCCGGGCCTTTACCAGACGACTGCAGAAGATCGGGAAGCGGTTTCCTCTGGGGTTGCCACACGGCTTGGTACCCCAGCTGGCCTCGGTGGTCCGTTTTTTCCTTTTTCTCCTTAAAATCCGCCCAAACCCGGGTACACCAACAACAAGGCCACAGTCCGCCACAGTCGGTCTGACGAGGAGCACCACCATGACGAAGAGCTCCGGTTCCAGGTGCTGGATTGGAACACCGACGAAGGCCGTCCCGTGGGTCCCGTCTCCACGTCGCCGACCCGACGAAACCCCCCGTTTTGTGGTATAGCCATGAGACATGACTTTTAGGTCGCCAGGTAGGTAACCGTTTCTTTTTGAAGTCTAAGCTTTCGGAAAATGTTTTCCCTTGGTCGCCTACTGGCGACCGAGACCCCCAGGGCCTGGGGCAGTTCCGCACTTTTCGCGACCTATGATAAGTATGTACCTGAAGGAGGCTCATGTAGGAATCCGATGCACTCCATATTTTTTTCAACTTTGGTTGAAACTGTGACGGTTTACAAGGAAACACAACGGACACCCAGTGGTCCAATGCCCTCTTGACGCTAGGTGCAACTGGCAATATTGGTCTGGCAGTTTGGAGATGAAACACGTTGGTTCACCACAGGGCCCTTTGGCAGGCTTAAACAGACTTCCCACTTCCGGAAGGGGAGTTATGGAAAGTCATGATGGAATCTCAACCCCCCATCTTGAGCAGCCCAGTTTGGGGATGTCTGGATGTTCCGTGGTTGGGGACATGTAGCTCTGCTGGTTTTAGGGGTAGCGACTGCCTGCTTTCTTACTTACCCCTTCATCCCAAATATAGCCTAGTGACTCCAGAAAGGGAACGTGTTCGGGCCAAACAAATTCGGTCTGACAAACGGGATTGTGTTCTCACCCATGAAGGTCCCGTACTTGCGGATTCCGTGAATTACTGTCATTCCTCCAGATGCTTGGGCCATGTCAGGGCCTTTTTAGTGCGTGCCGTGTAGAATCCTGGAGAAACATGCGTATTTTTTTGCTGCGGGGCTCAGATGGTTTGGGAAGGCGTCTACAGCCGCCTCTATGCAAAGGGGTCCCCCAAAAAGCGTATCATGTTGAGAACCCCAAAGGGATATTTGGAGGGGACCACCAACCCTGCAAGGGACACCCCCCCGAATTTCGAGACCCATCCCCATTGAAAAAACTAAACATGGAACAACCCCCCACCCATATAGGTTTGCTTGCCGCTTGCCTTCAAATCAGGCTGTTATGTTTCATGGGTATGCCGATGGGGCGAGTTTTAGGACAAGCCAAAGGTGGCGAGTTGTGATTTTCCCAGGGCCCAAAGCAACCCCACCCCACCCTCCACTCGTACCCCACCCAACCCGCCCCGCCCCACTCCACTCCATCCACCCGGTGACTCCGTGCAATTCGCATCCGCAGGCGTGGAGGGCTTCGATGTCATCGTGGGCTCGGACCTTCTGCTGGCGCCCTTCGGCGGGGCCCAGGCGCTGCCGCGGCTCCTCGCGCGGCGCCTGGCGCCCGGAGGCCGGGGGGCGGTCTGGGTCCCAATCGGTAGGGACTGTGGTTGGATGAACCGGAAGGGGAGTCCCTCAACGGAAACCACCGGTTGGATGGTGTATAACTTTGTCATTCCATTGCTCATTCCGTGCCTATCGCAGCAGCAAGTTGCAGGATCACTCGGGTTTTATCCCCACTTCCCCCTGCATATTGGGGGGTTAGTCTTTGGGAAGCCTTTTCTTTATTGTATCACAGAAGTGGTCATTTCCCACAAGTTAACACTATAGTAGGTAACTAGTTATGGCTTCCAGGTTTTACATCATGATTGCTCCTTACCTACTATGGTGGAAACTGGAAGCACTGGGAAAGGGAGTTGAAAGGAAAGAAAAGGGCTACCTGTTCTTGGACCCAAAGAGGAAGCCAGGAAGCCGCAAGGACACACCAAAAGGAAGCCGAAAAGCCACTGGGGTCCTTCTGTTGGACATGGAGGTTGCGGCCTGCTGCTGAATTCCCGCAGAGGCGCTGAGGCGCATTTGCCACTGGGCATGGGGAGTTTGGGCGAAGGGCAGAAGGGTCAAAGACCGACCCAAGGTTGCGAGAGGGTATGACTTTAATTTTCTTCCCAAACATGGCAAAAGGACAACCCAGTTCGGGTAGAGGAAGCCAACCCATGATCCCAAGAACTGATTTTGGTATGTGTCAAAATAGGGTCAACCCGACAGTGGGTGTTTTTTTCCTTTGATTTCCATGATGCAACCACCTTTCCCTGAAAGGCACACATCCCCACTTTGCACAAGAAATCGATGTACTCCTCGAGCTTCGGTCACTGCACCACAGCCCCAAGTTCCGCTCCCCGATTTTCGGACTCCAAGTGGCGCTCAGAGCTGAGGACGGCCATCGAGGAGCTCCGAAGGCGGGGCTTCGCGGTGTCCATCTTCCTGGCAGCTCGGCGGAGGTTCGCGACGGAGGGCGGGTCCCTGGGGGTCGCTTGCTTCCTTCCCAACAAATCCAGCTGACCGTGTCACACGGACGAGGCTCACCGAAATGAAAGGAAAGGGTCGCTTGTTTACGGTGGGTGAAGTATTCAGACTTGCCCAGATAAAGGAGTCATAGGGGATAGGAATCCACGGGTGGTCGTGTGGATAGTTACACATTCCACGGCCACCAGTTCGGATGATGAACGAACTCCATGAATTGTTGGGATGTGGCACCTATCAACTGGCGCCTGGCGTAGATGTTGTCCATCCACAGTATGCCCCTCATGACTCAGTGTACCCCACTACACCTCCAAAGTGCTACGAAACAATGGGAAACCAGATCCTCGTTTCGTCTAACCCTGTGCAGCCTATCAAATCCGAAACAAGTTGGTAATGGTAGGTGGTTTACCCCTTCATGGAGTTTCATCCATCCCAGGTGCCTGGATTTAACCATCCGCACCATTTGGTATGTGTTTTTCAGTTTTAGAGGGAAACCGAAGGAACCCCTTAGGCGGCCCTTCTAATGCCTTAAACTCCCCCCATCCCTCAACCCCGCCTCCATCCCTCAACCCCCCCTCCATCCCTCAACCCCCAAATGGTGCACGTGGAGCGAGTGCAGCAAGCTCGTTTTCTATGGCGAGTGTATTGGATACTCCGCTACTAGAACGAAGGGCCTTGCGCCACAAATGTATGTATAACATAAACGATGGCCAAAAGGTCCATGGTCTCCGAGAACACAGAACCCCCCCCCATCCCTCAACCCCTCCATCCCCCCCAAAGGAAACAAAAGAACCCCCCAAACGCCGGGCGCAGATGTCTCGAAGCCCAGCTCTCAGGCGAGCTCGGAGGGCATGGGCCCTCTGCTGCCCATCTCCGCCGAGCAGATCCCCCAGCTGCCGGAGAACGCGCCGAGCCGAGACCGTGTGGGGGGCTGCGTGGTTTCAGGGGAGTTTCCCTCTCTTCGAAGGGGTTGCTTGAACAGGAGGCCAAAGGAAAAGGAAACAGGCCATGGTAGGGGTTCTCCGATTTTGACGCATACGCGATTTGGTACCCAAAGGCATTCCAAGTTGTTTCCGGTTCCTTTCTTTGCGCAGATTCTGCCGCTATTTTATGCTGAGATCGCCGATCCGGGGTAAACCTAGCTGGCTCACTATGGCGATTTGTTCGTGCCAGAAGCTCTGCTGGAACGATGTTTTCCCGCTGCCGAATTGGAGGCGCTGGTGCTGCTGGTGGCAAGGTGGGAAGACTCGGACGGAGAAAAAAGCAAAGCACGCGCCAACGGCTGGGGGCGGACTTTTGATCTTTTCTTGTTTGAGACCGGCGAGTTCACTTTCCTGTTGGGGAACCTGAATCAGTTGTCTCTGAAGCTGGCTGGCACGGCTCTTTCCTTTCCGCCTCCAATTGTTCCCTTTCGAACCAGCAGGTTTGGGCGGAAAATTGGGGCCCAGAATGGTCGCATTTCGAGGGGTCAAAATTACGTCTGGGCCGTTCGCTTGAACCCATCAGGGTATTCGGAAGCGGAAGGATCGGACCGGTCTGGATCTCGAGGCAATGCACAGCTCAGGGATGGTTGCAGACGGTGAGATGTGCTCGCCGGCTTAAATGAAAATCACTCCCAGAATCTGGGCAGAGCTGAATCGTCTGAGGTCATGTTTGGCCTTCAATTTTGGGGATGCCTCACACGTAAGAGTTGGTTGTGCCATACTTCTTGAATGAAATGATACCTCAGCTTATACACAAGTCGCACCCTCCAGCACACCCCAAAGACACCCAAGCAAGGTCCTTAAGTGCGCCTGAAATGCACCCGAAGCAAACCCCAAGCATAGCCTCAGACGCGAGCACTATGCCCCAAGCACAACCTAAGTACACCCCAGGCACACCAGCAGACGCCCCCCAAACACACCCTCAGGCAGGGCCTTTCCTCTTCCTTGAAAGTCTTTGGACAGTGGGAGCTCGCCAACTTCCCATTGGGCAACTCAACCGACCATGAAGGGACAGAACATATTTGGCCTTAGTCAGGTTTATCGGAAGCCACACACCCAAAACCAGCGGTGCCCTCCACGCGTCTTCGTTGCCTTCGCGGCGGCGTCGCTTGGATGGCATGCCGCGAGCGGCGGCCGTGCACAGCGCGCGTTGCGCGCGGGCGGCGCAGGAGGGTGCTCAGCGACTTGGCAAGGGCAAGGCATTGATTTGGGCGTGTCCTGTTTTTTTGGAGGGTGCACCCTCCTCCAGCCAGTTTTTTGAGGTTTAGAAGGGAAACCAAGGGGAGAACTGAAGCTTTCTTTGGGGGGGTCCCGAGTTTTTGTGGTTTTGGAAGGGAATCCAAAAATAAACCCGTTTGGTCATTTTGGGGCTTCCGCGTCCAAAACAACAGGAACCCACGCCCATTTGGTTGTTCTCAAACTGATTTCATTTGGGAGTTTCCAAAGTGATTTGGGGTCTCAAGCTCCACCCAACCCAGTGGACACACTTTGCACTTTTTTCCTTGGTGGCTCTCCCTTTTCACTAGTGGTGGCCCAAAAAGTGCTGATCACTGGAGTGAGTAAACCAACCCTAAACCCTAAACCCCTAAACCCTTTTCGGCGGAAGGCTTCCGCCCGCCCGCCTTCCCTTTGGGCGGAAAACCCATGGCCGCACCAAAAAGGCCGCCTGAGGTGGCTGAGCCGCTTCCGGGAGCGCGGCCATCTCTGGGCCCAGCTGGACCGACGCGGAAGGGGGATCGCCTGGAGACGTCGAGACGTCGCCGTGAAGTGGGACTTTTGTGAAGGAGTTCATGAAATGCCTCGCTTTTTCTTTTTTCTTTTTTGTTTCTCAGACTTTTACATCCCTGGCACATGCATGTTTTTTGTTTTTAATAAGATAAGAAAACCAATACATGTGGGCAGGATCAAACATCTTCTTTAGAATATTGCCGGGATCAAAGATTTGATTTTGGCGGGAAGCTGAGGAAGTTTCGGTACTAGCCCATTTTGGAGACCAAGGTTCGCGAATCGGACAGGTGATCACCCCGACATGTCTGGTTGTTCAGTGTTGATTCCTCACCCAAGGTGGCCAACTGCAAAGAGGTTTCCTCGCAAACACGGATAACTTAATATGCTATGCCCGCCATGCCCCGTGCATAGACAGGGTCGTGTATGGACAGACTCCAAGCCAGGCACGAGTTGTCAACTGCCAGATTTGCCAGGGTTCGGTGCATTCCGTATATTTGTCTTAACAGGAACAGGGGGGAGTTCGCGGGGTCAAACTGCGGCCCGCCCAGCAGAAGGGACAAACGGGGGCTGGCAGGACCCGCTGGGCCGCTGCAGAGGTCCGCTCGCCAAGAATGACCAGTGGTGGCAGGCGTCGGAGCTTGGCCGTCGGCCCATCAATTTTTTTGGACTGGTGGGGGTTTGGTTGGTTTCAATTTGGATGGTTGGATAGTTGGATGGTTGGACCGGGGATGGTTGGATGGTTGAAAGCAAATTATGGAGGTTTTTCTTGATTGCTCAGCATTTGATTGGCGGGCAACCCAGGTTTCACCCCTTGCAAGGCGAGGCATAGCTGGAGCCTAAAGTCATTTGTTAGGGAAAGTTGTCAAGGGCGCTCTAGTCCTTTGCTTTTTCGAGGGTGTCCCTCAAGGGTGGGCAGGTAAGTCAGCCTCCTGAGCTTAGCATTCGCCCCTCGCACCGGCTTGGAAACGAAGTATTTAGATGCAATTTGGAGGTTGCCCCCGATCCTTAGGGAAATGGTCTTTGCATACCTCCATTCTGTCGAAACCCTCTTGGAGGGACCCGCAAGGGGTCAGAAGCTGGGGCTCTAACTACAGATGGGCGATTCTGTCACTCTGGGAGCATTTTGAAACTTAGCTGTATCCCTGCGGGCGCTGACGCGTTTAGAATGGGGAATTAAACCCGTGCCCCACAGATACAGCAGAGAAATGTGGATTTCCGTGTGCGTCTTGCTACCTCAGAGTCACCAATCTACCGCACTCCCCGACTTCATGGACTTTAAACTTTTGGGAAGATCGTTCTAGTGTGTGTGGCAAAACAACATGTTCAGGTTTGTTTTGGCCCCACTCAAGAAGTGAGACACCGACCCCGAAACTCGCCAATCGTTTTCTCGCAGGATGAGTGCATAGAGCACCCGCCGCTGGGCAAGCAAAAACTCGAGCCCACGGGCCCAAGAGGTGGCTTTTCTCTTGTTCACCCCGAGTTAAAAGGGCATCGAAAAAGAGTCGCTTGGATGTTGCTTGGTATGATTTTCATCAATCAGCCCCAGAGCGCATACCACACTTGACGTAGTTTGAACGTGCAAGCCCCTTGAGCCCCAAAAACGGCCTGGGCGTATCCCCTGCTTCTTTTGAGATCCATGAAGCCTGAGGCTCGATGTGATATCATCCACGCACCAGTTGGTATGTGGTCTACACATTTTTGATAGGGCTTCATCCATCCCTGGTGAGAATTGGATCTTGTCCATCCACATTTCGACAAGACTGGTTGACGCCTCATTTCATTTGTTCAAAGCGGCGAGTCTCCAAACTCCTTCCGTGGCCCTCGCCAATTACCCGGTGTTGTGACCGCGGCAAGTCTGCCTTTTTAAGGGGATCCAGAAAGGGTCAGTCTTGCAATTTTGCCCAAAACCTGCGCAGACGGGTGAAGCTTAGGGCCAGTTCCAATCATATTTTGGATAGCTATGTTGATGGAAGGAGGGATCGTGGTGTGTGTCTCGTTGCGTTTGTATTGGGCATGCGGTGTCCCCAAACCCGAGATTGGCAGACTCCAATTGTCAGTGATGTGAGTCACACTTAAAATCTTGTCTTGAAAGGGTCTACCCAAAACTCACGGCCACACCTTGCTCAAACATGTTGAACCCACATTGTACCATGGGGATACTCGTCAGGCTTGTTTGCTTGTGTCTGCCAAGCCGAGACAACCCACGTTTATAAGTCAGCCAACTTCTGTGATTCAACATACGACACCCCCGTGGTTCTGTTGATTGTTTGCTTTCATGCATTGCCACTGCCTATTCCCCAACAGCTGCAAAGCAATGGGCTTGCGAGTTGGGGCAGCTTTCAGGGAGGGTTTCGGAGGGTTTCGGAGGGGTTCTGGGGCTGTTGAGGATACCTGGGCTTACTTTTCAGCGTGGAAAGCGAAGAGAGCCCCAAACGAACTTTGCCGAATTCACATGGCTCAGTGGGCCTGAGGCTCGCAGGGCTGCGCATGGGGCGCGGGCCCCTCTTCGTGGCTCCCGAGGATCTATTGGCCCGCCCTCGCTCGCTCGCTCGCTCGCTCGCTCGCTCGCTCGCTCGCTCGCTCGCTGGTTTGCGTATGTTTCTTTGGTTATTGAATAGGTGGCCTCGTTTTATGGGGGTATCTGCCATTGAGTTTGGTTTCGGATGTGGGATGAGATGCTTTGGGGGGGTGTTGGAGTTTTGCATCCCGGCAGCATAGTTTTAAGCCGGGCTGCACGCTGCAAACACGCACGTCCACAAGAGACCACAAAGAACTACGGACCCTACCACAAAAAGCATAGAAGTACACAGAGCTCAGTATAGGAGGCAGAAGGGTGTGTCTTCTGTTGGCGGACTGTCTTTTTATGTTGTTCGAACTTTGTTTAGCTTCCCAGCTGTCTTTTTGCCAGGTTTCAGGCCAAAACAATATCTGACTGTCCAAAGGCCCAGAGGGTCGTCTGAAGGCCACCCCTTCGAGGCCGGAGGGCTGGATTCCACTGGTTTCAGTCTCATTCCTTCCCTTTTTTCCGGGTTCCGAAGCAATGACCAATGGGCTAGGAAATGGGGAGTTGGTGAACCGGGGCAGGTTTGCTTTTTCCCGTTTTGGCCCTTGGGTCGTTTTGGCGCATGGTTCAGGAGCTACCCTCCGCCACGGGCTGGTGGTCTCGAGAGAACTTACTACAAGTCATGGAGGAGACTACGCGCGTACAGTGCCACCCTTCCCGTTTCCTTTTGGCGTACCCTTCACTTTCTCCTGGACTTCGATGGTGGACAAAATCCATTGAGCAGCTCCTTTCAAATCCACAAAGAACGAGCTAATCCATTTGTCAGCGTCAAGCTTCTCAGTAACCGGGGCAATTTATGAGTTGATGAACCAAAGAAATGGGCTTGATCACGATTGTTGCTGTTCCCCACAAAGGAGGGCCCAAAAGCGTTCACATACGGGTCAACGGCGGCAGCCTTCAAAAGTGGTGCCCGCAATTTGAGCTGTCCCTTATGGTGAGGCCGAAAGACATGCGCCATCACACCAAGAGCCGAGTGAAAAGGATCGGATCCCTCAAAGCACCTACAAGAAACTCTTCCGTCCGTGGGTTTTAGCCTTTTGAATTCGCCACCTCTTGCAATCAGCCGTAGACACAGAAGCAGCTGAAACTTATCGTGGACATGTCTTTCAACATTTGGATACGCGCCAAACAGTGCTACAAGAGTGGTGCACAGTGTCCGGCATGAGGGTGAACCATGCCAGGGGTTCATACATTTGCAAGGGTTCTAGCAGTATTCAAAGGATGGCTTCAATGGGGCTCTTGCGGCCTTGCAGTTGCAAACCAAAACACTATAGGGGGTCACAGATTCCGCTGATTTGCGTTGATGTGCCAAATATTCTTGGAATTCGTACCCATCGTTTTGTCAACAGCACCGCCTCAAATTTTCCACCAACGTCACATCGGTAGGTGAAAGGGAAGCACCAGCTGACTTTAACCCCCAGAAATAGGTTTGTCTTTCCTGATAGCACTTTTTTGAGTTTCCTTTAGGAGGGAAGCCAAAAGAAAACCAACTATTTTGGGTGTCCGCTCTTTTTAAGGAGCCCTTCAGGGGGATGGTTTCCACTTGGTTTCCTCTGAAACCAAAAGGAAAGCCGCCAATTTTGGGCGTTTCGGGACCAACCACCTCAAGAAATACTATGGTGCATAAGGTCTAGGGGCTTTCTTGGATGCCTTGGGCCGATTCCTGGGCGCTGACGTGGGCTCTGCGCTTCGCCGCAGGAGGCCCACTGCGGCACATTGAGCGTGGAAGCGAGCCATTTGTCCTGCCCGGAGCGGCGCAGGTGCCTGTCGAGGGTGGGGTGTGGGGTGCTCCCGTCTTGCTTCTTTTTTCAGGGTATCCGTTTTGGGTAAGGGGAATCACAGGGAGAAGCACATTTAATTTTGGGCCCCGCCCATTTCAACGCAGACCGTTTTCTTGGTGCGTTCCCCTTTTAGCAAACATATCGCGGAGAGACTGATAGTTCCTTTGTTGTGGGCGATTATGAGCCGTTCGTTAAATTTTCGAACCGGAAAACCGACCCGCTTCACCCAACTCCATCGCCGTTGGCCAAATTTCAGAGATGAGCAACGGACAGTACTGCTAGCCTGTTGTTCATTTGGAGAGGACATGGGGATTCCAGTATCCCTTCCTTATTTTCGACCGGGGCCAACCCAATTTAACGTCCACGGCTGAGATTTTGCTACTGGGCATGTCCTTGGGCTTGCGCTCAACCGGGTTGCTCTGAGCCCGGTGGAACATTGGCGAACGGCCCAATCGTCGAATGGGCTTTTCCGCGAAGCACGACTGGAGCAAAAGAAACCAGCAGCTACGCTCCCAACTCGGTTACGCCGGGCCGCCCCAGTGTTTTAACCAGGGTTGGAGCTTCGGGCGAAAGCTGAGGTAGCCGGCATCCAAAAAGGGCTGGTAGCTCCTTACCTCCATCCCCAACAGCAAATCTGAATACTCGCTTTCCATTGGAAGTGGAGGATCCTTCTGGGCCTCAAAAGGAAAGTAGTCTGCCAAACCCTCCGATCCTTGGGTTCCAGTGGGGGAATACCCGGACTTGGCTCGGATCCGAACGCTGAAACTTGCCAGGTGGTGGCACTCGGCGGTGGAGCTGAAGTCGCAAAGCGAGCTGAGCGGGGCGCGGTGTCGGGCGCTGCTGCTGAGGCGGGGTCAGAGTGCAAGGATGGGGTGGAGGGGTGGGAAGGCGGTGGAGGGGTTGGCAAGTGTTCTCCTGCCAAATCTGGTTTTCCTTAAAGTGGGTAGCAGAATTCATGGCTGTGGAGAAGTGGGTGTTCGCTTGACCCTGCACGTTTTAGGGGGGGATGGGTCCATATGGCCCATCTTGCTTTCACAAGGGTGATTGCCACGTGGATCTCCAGACGTTGGAAGTGGTCGTTGCTCCGAGCCTTATGACTCAACCGCGCGGGTAGAGAAATGATATGGGATCCTCTCGTTTTCACTTCTTCTTTTTTCAGAGACCCATGGGCCAATTTCTACCCTGACAGGGTCTTTGGGCACAGCTCATTTTGTCAATCTCGGATGAGGATGCCACCTTCAAGAGTAATCTCGAATGAGACACAGTCAAGCTGAACGGATTGCAGTTGAACAGAGGACAGTGCAGGCTTTGGTTGCCGGGTTTGGGTATGACTTAAAATCAGGATGAGGGCGCAGGCCGAGAGCTGAACCAAACTCTGGCGAAAGTGATTCAGGGACGGTCATCCATAGCTATGGATCTTTGGTATTCATTTGCAGTACTGTGGGTTGACAAAATCCTGCACCACCTAAGAAACCATGACGAACCATTGTTTGTTGATATTTACAGGGGAAGAAAATCATCTTTGGGTTTCTTTAGGTGGTGCGAAATGGATTTCGTCCATCCACAGTATGACTCATTTGCCGAGGATTCGCTATAGAGAACCAGCGACCAAATGGTGGGTGGACTCCGATTCCTGAGGCTTTCTCTAGCTGGGGTGAAAAACAAGCCTCAGCGAGGACGCGCATGGCGCCGATGACGAAGCGAGTGCACGAAAAAAGGCAAAGATGACCCACGCAAGCAACACACCTGAGAGGCATGCATTGTATTGAACCTGAATGCATAGCTGCAAGTATAATGTGTATACGTATGTACATATGTATGCATGTATTGCGCTCACGTTTGGGTTCCACTGCTCCTTCTTCCGCCCCAGGTTCCGGGGCTCGAGGCTCGCGAGGCAAAGCCCTTTGCAGGTGACACCTTGGGTAGATCGACATTTTGTTAGGGCCTGTTGGTTTGAGCCCTGCCCAGCCCTGAAACCGGGCCGTTACCCATCGCCTTCAGATGTGGGCGCCTCTGAGTGTAATGAACACCCCCTATTAATAAACCCCTGTTTATTAATATGGGGGTGTCCCTGATTTTTGTGGGGACTAGTCACTTTTGGAGGGGAACACCCCTCTATTTGTAAGCAGGGGTTGATGAATAGGGGGTCAACATTAAGCCCTTCTCAGCCGGTCGGTTCCATCGGCTCGCCGAGGCTGCTGAGGGCTACGCTCTTGACCCAGTTCCTGCGGTCCAAGTTTCCGGCCACCAAGTGGTTCGGTCTGGACGGCTGCGAGGCGGAAGCCCGAATCCATTCGCGTATGGGCCCCAATCGGAGGGGGGGATGCCATCTGTTTAGGTTTTTTCTTTTGAAGCATCCCGAAAAACATGTATCCCATTCCGCACCAATCGTTATACGATTGTCATGGCTTCCCATGCTTGTTTGCTGGAAGATCATGTATATCCACACGAACCATCGTCTTTCCAGGGGATCTGGGGGTTCAGGTTCCATATATTTGTTGGGGAAGTCGTTGGATGAATGTCACGTATATCGGGTGTATCCCTATTCACCAACTTCCTAGTGGTCCCCTTTCACTTGAGGATGTTCCTGCTGGGCATGCTTCCCTTAGAGTTGAACCAGCCTGTTAAGGGTTGATGACCATTCCAATTCAAGTCAAGCAACGGGGTAGGGGGCTGTTTCAAAATCAGACAACATCGGGACATGGAGGGTGGGTAGATGGGTGCTCCTAAAATGTCAGCACACGGTTTGACTCAGACAGCATTTTGTAACGTTTGCCATGTATTTGTGTTGCAGACCGGTCTGCATGATTGTCCAACAAACATCGCGTACTGCAACTTCGTGTGCGGCATCTGGATAAATTTCCGATAAGGTACATCAAGCGCAGCAAGGCTCGCAAGCAAATGCTGTGGATGGACGAAATCCTGCACCGCTTGGGATAGATGAAGCCCCGTAAATAATGGGATAAACCACCTACCAACTGATGCAGGATTTTGTCCATCCACAGAATTTCCTTGCATGTCATTTCTTTTGTATTTTTCTTCTTTGGCCTGGAGCCACCTCCACCTTCAGAGCCAAGACGACGGACCGGGGGGCGCTAAACCGGTGGGGTGAAGCCTGTGCCATGTCCTTCCCGCACACCTTCCTGGGATTTTGACTTTGCATGACTCATGTTTGACCAATGGTGATTGCTCAATCTTTTAACAAGGACCGCAGAGGAATTGATACGGACAGAATTCAAGCAGAGTTTCTAGTTGCAATTGAAATCTGAATATGATTTCCTTTCAAACAGGAGTCAAATTGCTGTTCAGTAGATTATTTCAAATTGGACTTTACAGGGGGTTTGCTTTCCCAGAAGGATTTGTTCAATATGTTTATTAGACTTTAATAAATACAATTTCATAAGGACATAATGCCAGCATAATCTCTACTTTCAAGCATATTTTCAAATCTTGCCTCGAGGGCCATGCGAACCAGGGGATGGTGATATTGACTGCGATGGGAGCGGCGCGTTCGAACTGAATGGCTGTAGGATGTATTGCTCGGCGATACCTGTTATTGGTTGTCAGCGGATATGGTTTTGTGTGCTAAAGCCATCTGTTCGCACGTTTACACAACCAATGATTCTCAACAAAAACACCACCGCTCATGGCATCCCCCTCTCACACATACACAAACACACAAACACATTGCAGAAGCGTTCAAGATTTTGTTCCCAGCGCCGCATCTCCCCAGCCCTCGGTTTGGCCAGGCGCTGATCCCAGGGCTCTACCGCCTGTGCCACCGCTCAGCGCAGCATGGAGTGGAGCGGATCGAGCTGGGCATGCCCCACAGAGGACTCCGGACGGAACCCGGGGTTGGACGGGGTGGCGTGGACCGTTGGATGTGGCTCCATGTGAATTGCAGATACGGTGAATATGCATTCAAGTGTACGGTTTGGGGTAGAACCACCAAGGGCTTCCCGCTTATGTTGGGGGCTGGTCGAAGGGATATATGGTCCCGTGTTCCGTGTTGCTAACCCCCCCCCCCCCCCCATATGGAATGGGTCCCCCAGGAACGCCCCCCCCCGCCCGGCCCGAGACCCCGAGCCCCCGGATCCTGGCACCTACGGTCGTTGTTTAGACAAAGTTTGCCAAAGGCTGGCTTCAAGTGTCCACTTCCCTGTTGCGGAGCTGGCTGCCCAAAAAATGGGTGTTTTCCTGTAGTTTCTAAGCACGCGGCCCGAAGTAGCATTGAGGAGCAGTTTTGAATAGCTGTCCGGGCGTCGAAGGAGGGTTAGGAGGCAATTGTCAGCTTTTCACTTGACCCACCCCGACCCCCTGAACTCGCACCCCGACACCCCGGCACCCCCACCCCCAGCACAAGCCAACCCGCAACCAACCATAAACCAACCCTAAACTAACCCTAAACCAACCCTAAATACACCCTAAACCAAACCCCAACACCCTAAACCAATCCCTAAACCTAAACCAACCCTAAACCTAAACCAACCCTAAACCAACCCTAAACTAACCCTAAACTAACCCTAAACCAACCCTACATATGCCCTAAACCAAACCCTAAACCAACCCCTAAACCGTACACCTCTAAACCTAAACCAATCCTAAATCAACATAAACCAACCCTAAACCAACCCTAAACAAACCCTAAATACAACCTAAATATACCCTAAACCAATTCTACACCAACCCTAAACCACTACAACCCAACCACAGGACCACAACCACAGGCGGGGGGGGGGGGTACTTGTCTGACCCATGACCATTGGGGGGGGGGGGCGCTGGCAACGCTGTACCATACATAGGCATTCTAACAGACTCACGCGGGAACGTGTAAAAAACAAAAAACACTTACCTACTTTAAAAATATCTTTATTCTCTCTTCTTTTTTTGTGGTAATTTCCCAGATGCATGGTTAAGGTGCAGGATTTCCAGCCCGCGGCTTGGCTCGAGCTCAGCGGCTGCCACCCTGAACATCCGCTTTGCTAGTTTCTCCACTGAGGATAGGTCAACCCTCCAACGGGTTGCCAGGGTCACGGGGTAACTGGGCTTACGTCGATACATCGGGGGGATGCCCAATCTCCGACAAGCTCCCTTTCCTAAACGTTTGTGTGCGCGTCCTCGTCCTCTGTGCACAAAACCTGCCATGCTCAGTTTGCCAGAAACAAACCAAAAGACCAACCTGTTGAGGACGTTGGCTACCCAGCTCTCGGTCAAAGGGGGATAGCTTTGGGATGACAAGAGAGGTAATTGGGGTGTCGAAATAGGGGGCCCTGATGATCGAGGTTTTGGTGTTGGTAATCGTTAAAAAAAGAATCCTCAAAAGACACAGCCATTTCTGCAAATTACCCACCCAAGTTTTGCTTTGTTTTTTTTCCCCCAAGCGTCAGCGTTAACTTAGCACCCTTGGTGCTAGGACGGCTAAACGTGCTGGCGAATCTCTTGGGCAAGGAGCGCGCGGGGGGGGGGGGGGGTGGCTTGAACAGGTGTAAAGGTTGTACCCAACGTTCCACTGCAATTCCTGTGTTTTTTGCTGAAAAAGGACTCCTGGAAAGAATGGGGCCGGTACAGCTAGAACATTGGAGAAGGGCCCATTCGTGATGTTGCTGCGGTGGAATTGGAAGCGCACATAATTGTTAGAGTTCCTCAGCGCCTGCGTGTCTATCAGCGAGAGAGAGGGGCAAGGGTGGCGGGGAAGGGGCACCCGTTCCGGAGAAAGATCGAAAGGAGAACGAAACAAAGGAAGAAAGTCAGAAACAACAAAGACATGACCAACGCATTGCAGCTAAGGACGATCGTTTGCAGCATCCTAGGGGTGCGGCCATCCGAACTCCAAGAGCCGAGGAGCTGAGTTTGATCTGCTGCGAGATGAACGAGAACCGGAGCGATTTCCACGTGGGGGACGTGCCGGGGCCCCCAGAACAACCTCACCCCCAGTGATTTCAGTTGCTTGCACAGTAGGCAACCGGAAGCACCGTACAAAACGCTGAGAGGACAATGCGGGTAGTTCAATAACAAAGAAGTCATCTCAGGTTGCTTTTCCAGAGTCAGCCAATGTGGCGATTTCACCGATTCAGGGCGCAGGATGGGTTTCATGTTGTGGAATCAATGAACCTGATGAGAAAAAGAGGGGGGGGTCCCCGAACTGGGACGCCCGCTGCGACTCTCAAGCAACGGTTTATGAGTCCTGGGTTTCCAATGGAGCCCTGTGATGACAGGTTTGTTCCAAGTTCCATAGGAATCCTTTACTGTTGGTGCATGATAACTCGCCCAGGAGGTTTCAGAGTCCTCGGAAATGAACTTGTAGCAATGAAGTCGGATTTGCCGGGGTCTTGTTTCGGAGTTGGACGGATTGCCCAAACGCCCACTCCATTACCCCGGTCCTACTGTGGATGGACGAAATCCTGCACCACTTTAAAGCCATGAGAAACCATTGTTCGTTGGTATTTACAGGGAAATAATCATTCCAGGGCTTCTTACATGGTGCAGGATTTCGTCCATCCACAGTAGCATTGTCACAAACGTGTCCGCTGGATAAATGCCGGCCTGGTTGGCCTTCTTTGTTTGGGCGGCTTGTAGCTGGAAAATGGGTGTTGTACCCGACCCCTTCAAACTGCTCCGAACCTTCAGGGGAACCCAGGAACGCACCCGGGCGGGGATACACATATACATATATATATATATATATTCCGTTACTCCAGTTTAAATGGACATCCGAATACGAAATCCCAGAGCGGGCTAGCTTGCGCATCCCTAGAAATCGCCCACGTACCAAGGTTTCAACATGTCGTTTTACACAAGAGGCATTCAAAGTGTTTGTTTCACTGTGTCATATCCGGTCATTTGTTTTTTTGTTGATGGCTCAGGAGGTATTCAGAGTCAAAATCAGTTGTTTGCTGTCGCGTTTCCCTCGAAACCAACCAAGAATGCCACCTGAAATCAGGTAGGTTTGGATTGGTGGCTTAGTTTGAACCCCTGGACGCCTTCACACCTGCGAAGCCCAATCCAAGAGGGAAGCGCTGAAAGAAGGCCACCTTCGGCCTGCGCTTCCAGAAGCCGCACCAGTTGTTTATGAACACCTCTTCCCTCCGGGAATATATATATATATATATATAAATATATATATATATATATATATATATATATCTATATAAGTGTTTCCCCAAGGCCCGCGGACCCCCCGCCACCCCCCAAAAGGAAAAAATGCAAAGTAGTAAGAAGTAAAATACAATTACATCAACAATCAGTAAAATAATAAATGAATAGACACGTAAATAAAGACACGGGGAGACCTCACAAGTCTGTGGCGCAGGAAGTACCACACCGGCTACTTCGGGGCGTTGCCGGTTCTGCCCAGCGCGTGGCAACAGAAGTTCTCAGCCGCGGAATGCGAGGTGACGCCGCCGGTGCTGAGCGTCATCCCCAACCCCAGCCACTTGGAGACCGGGGCGGTGGGCGGGCGGGCCGTGGGGTGAGGTCACAGTCCCACGGTTGATTGTTGGATCATTGTTTTTAGTGGATTTTTGTTTGCAAAGTTTCTTGCTGTGATACCAAGGCTTGTACAGTCACAGGGTAACGGGTGTGGGTTCCGTGCGTGCGGGTAATCCCTTCTGGCTGCATCGATAGAAGCTGATTTGTCCGTTGCCCCGGTTTCGGGACCTGTTCGGTTCGGGTTCCCCGCAAAAGTTAGGGCTTTTGGAGCCACCTGTGGTCGAAGACAACTCCAAATCCGCCAAGCCCAAGCCCAGCCGCAGGAGCTGGTGACGCCAGTGGTGCTGGGCAAGGTGAGGGCCTTGCAGGACGAAGGTTCCCACCAGGCGGGGAAACCCGACCTCCGGACTCCGTTTCGGCGTTTCAAGTGGAAAACCAACGGGGAGCCTTTGGGGCATTTTCCAAGGCAGAAGGCATACACTTTTTTTGTGGTGGCTCCTTTCTTCCAAGCTTCCCCTGGAAATCAACCAAAGCAAGGTGTCCTTTTCCCTCAAGCCCCCACTTCTACTTTTCCAACCCCCACCTCCCCTACCTTCCCCTACCTTTTCCTACCCACCCTCCCCGCACCTTACCGCAGCCCCCTTCCACACTTTGCCGCACCAGCCCACCCCCTCCGGCACCCTCACCCCACCCCTCACCCTCACCCTCACCCCAGAGCCAGGTGCTGGGCCTCATCCTGCACGGCGACGCCGCCTTCGCGGGCTCCGGGCTCGCCTTCGAGGCCATGCAGCTGGCGAGGCTCCCGGCCTACCACTGCCAGGGCGCCGTGCACGTGGCCCGCGCCTCGGGGGAGAAACCTCCGGGGAAAAAGGGGGAAAACGGGGGAGGGGGGGGGGGGGGAGTTGGGCCCCAGAGGCCCGCGCGATTTCCAACGTGCAGCAAATGCTGTTTTTTTTTTGACCAACAATTTGCAGTTTGGTTGGAAGCTGGCAAATTCCACCTTGTTTGGACCGAACAGCAGGTAGACCCACCAGTAAAATACCACTTGGGAAATCCGGTGACCAGACTCAGTTCATCGTTTTTTAGGGTAAACAAAAACAGCGCGCCCCAAGACATCTTGCTTCAAACGGCCAGCTAAGCAAACCCGCAGGGATCGCCATTTTGCCGTTCCTTACTTGAATTAATTTCTTCATCCTGCCAGATGGCTGTGGTAACATGTTGTACATTCATCCTTATTCCGTTTCGATTTCTGGTGTAGGATTAGGGATCCCCTGCCCTTTGGAACAATGATTTGCTACCAAAGCAAGGAGCCACCGGACAATCATCTCGGGCTTCCAAGCCGAAGCTTGCTCCTCCAAAACCAAACTGAACAGATAATTTAATGGAGCAGCACTTTAAGGGGCCCAAACAATGGGATCTCAAAACCAAGAACCCATGGTGGTTGTTAAGAGGGGTCTTTTGATCGGGTTCATTGGCCCGGGGTCGACATTCGTTTAAACTTTTGTTGTATTTCCCGGATTCGGCGGAGACAGGAAGGTATTGGATTTTCTTAAGCTAAGCCGAAGAACAAACACAACATGTACGAGCCTGTTTTATACAGGTCATAGTTTGCCCTCGCCAAGAGATTCGGTTCGTGACCGATTTGCTGTATACATATACATATATACAAGTATACATATATATATATATATATACACATGTACATACTGGTTCCATGGTTTCGCAGTGTGGATTCCGGGGAATGATTTTCCTGCGGTCTGGCGGAGGTGCTGAACAACCAGGTGGGTTACACCACGAAGCCCTACGAGGGCCGCTCTGCCGCACACCCCAGTGACGTGGCGAAGGCCCGCTGAGGTGGTCCCCCGAAACCCCCCTGAGCTTGTGATCATTTTGTCGGCAGGCTTGTGGGATCAAGGGGTTTATGCCCACTTCTGTGATACAAGGGAATCCCCTCTTTATATTGGGGGTTTGTCTTTGGCAGGCCCTTTTGGTTGTATCACAGAAGTGGGCATTTCCCACAGCCCTGGCCATGGGTGTTTCTCAAAACAAATCGGACCCCTAAAGATGACCTTTTGGTTACCCCTTTTGGTTTCAGCCTTTTTTCCTAGTGACAAAAAAGGGGGGTATTTTCTATGTTGATTTTCCGCCGCAGTGTTTTGCGATGCAAAAGGCGTTTGGTCATGGCGAGGTAACCCATACCTTTTGCCATTGGCGTAGGTGCTTCATTGAATTGTTGTTCAGTGACGAAGTTTGTGAGTTTGCATGGAAAGGTAGAGTGAGTAGCAACGCTCGAGTGGTTTTGGGGGCAGTGGGCAAGTGAGAGGCTTGGAGCTGGGTGATCGAGGGATATGCCGCACATGTGGGCATGGGGAAGGTTGCTTAGGAGTTACTGTTGTGTCGCGACCGACGTGGAGAGCTTGAGGGTTGCGTGTTGGTTGTTCAGATGCTGAGATGAGAGTTGTGGCGTGTTCTGTGCGATGTCTAAGTTACTTATTTTCATCACGGTTCATTAGTTTCATTACCAGTTAGTTTAGTTTGTTTGCTTGGTTTGTTTTTTTGCATGTTTGCTTGCTTTCTTGCCTTTTTTTGTGTGTGCGTGTGTGGATGTGTTGTGGTGCTCGTAGTAGCACCTTTGTGTTCAGGTCTCACGACAGAAGCGTGACGGTTTCGCATGGGCGATAAGTTGCATGCTCAAGGATTTGAGAAGGTGCTTCATTTCACTGATGTTCAGTGACGAAGTTCCACCCTGAATCCGTTACCCGTGATGAGAGCAGGGCAGCATGTGAGTTTGCATGGAAAGGTGGAGTGAGTAGCGACGCTTGAGTGGTTTCGGGGGCAGTGGGCAAGTGAGAGGCTTGGAGCTGGGTGATCGAGGGATATGCCGCACATGTGGGCATGGGGAAGGTTGCTTAGGAGTTACTGTTGTGTCGCGACCGACGTGGAGAGCTTGAGGGTTGCGTGTTGGTTGTTGAGATGCTGAGATGAGAGTTGTGGCGTGTTCTGTGCGATGTCTAAGTTACTTATTTTCATCACGGTTCATTAGTTTCATTACCAGTTAGTTTAGTTTGTTTGCTTGGTTTGTTTTTTTTTGCATGTTTGCTTGCTTTCTTGCCTTTTTTTGTGTGTGTGCGTGTGTGGATGTGTTGTGGTGCTCGTAGTAGCACCTTTGTGTTCAGGTCTCACGACAGAAGCGTGACGGTTTCGCATGGGCGATAAGTTGCATGCTCAAGGATTTGAGAAGGTGCTTCATTTCACTGATGTTCAGTGACGAAGTTCCACCCTGAATCCGTGACCCGTGATGAGAGCAGGGCAGCATGTGAGCTAGCATGGAAAGGTGGAGTGAGTAGCGACGCTTGAGTGGTTTCGGGGGCAGTGGGCAAGTAAGAGGCTTGGAGCTGGGTGGTCGAGGGGTATGCCGCACATGTGGGCATGGGGAAGGTTGCTTAGGAGATACTGTTGTGTCGCCGCCGACGTGGAGAGCTTGAGAGTTTGGTGTTGGTTGTTGAGATGCTGAGATGAGAGTTGTGGTGTGTTCTGTGCGTTGTCTGAGTTTCTTTGTTTCATTACGGTTCATTAGTTTAATTAGTTAGCTTGCTTTGATTGTTTTGTTTGTGTGGCTTGCTTGCTTGCTCGCTTGCTTGCTTGCTTGCGTGCGTGCTTGTTTGCTTGCTTGCTTGCCTGCTGGCTTGCTTGCTTGCTTGCTTGCTTGCTTGCTTGCTTGCTTGCTTGCTTGCTTGCTTGCTTCCTTTCCTTCTTGCTTGCTTTCTTGCTTTGTTATGTGTGTGGGTGTGTGTGTGTGTGTTGTGGTGCTCGTAGTAGCACCTTTGTGTTCAGGTCTCACGACAGAAGCGGGACCAGTGGCGCATGGGCGATAAGTTGCATGCTCAAGGATTTGAGAAGGTGCTTCATTTCACTGATGTTCAGTGACGAAGTTCCACCCTGAATCCGTTACCCGTGATGAGAGCAGGGCAGCATGTGAGCTTGCATGGAAAGGTAGAGTGAGTAGCAACGCTTGAGTGGTTGCGGGGGCAGTGGGCAAGTAAGAGGCTTGGAGCTGGGTGGTCGAGGGGTATGCTGCACATGTGGGCATGGGGAAGGTTGCTTAGGAGATACTGTTGTGTCGCCGCCGACGTGGAGAGCTTGAGAGTTTGGTGTTGGCTGTTGAGATGCTGAGATGAGAGTTGTGGTGTGTTCTGTGCGTTGTCTGAGTTGCTTTGTTTCATTACGGGTCAATAGTTTGATAATTAGTTAGCTTTGATTGTTTTGTGTTTGTGGCTTGCTTGCTTGCTTGCTTGCTTGCCTGCCTGCCTGCCTGCCTGCCTGCCTGCCTGCCTGCCTGCCTGCCTGCCTGCCTGCCTGCCTGCCTGCCTGCCTGCCTGCCCCTGCTTGCCTGCTTGTGTGCGTGCGTGCTTGCTTGCTTGCTTGCTTGCTTGCTTGCTTGCTTTCTTTCTTTCTTTCTTGCTTTCTTATGTGTGTGGGTGTGTGGATGTGTTGTGGTGGGGAAAGTGCCCAGATTGATTCCTGCTGGTCCCAGTTTGGTGGGGAAAGTGCCCAAATTGAGCCCACTTTGTGCAACAATTGAAAAGTTTGCAGCTAAATATTGCAAGTTTGAAATAAATTGACAAGTTGATTTTTTTGGCAAAAACTGCAAGAAAATGAGGTTTTGGGTCCAAAAAAGGCTCCTAGACTCTGCTTGAGTGGTTTCGGGGGCAGTGGGCAGGGCAAGTAAGAGGGGTATGCCGCACATGTGGGCATGGGGAAGGTTGCTTAGGAGTTACTGTAGTGTCGCCGCCGACGTGGAGAGCTTGAGAGTTTGGTGTTGGTTGTTGAGATGCTGAGATGAGAGTTGTGGTGTGTTCTGTGCGTTGTCTGAGTTTCTTTGTTTCATTACGGTTCATTAGTTTAATTAGTTAGCTTGCTTTGATTGTTTTGTTTGTGTGGCTTGCTTGCTTGCTTGCTCGCTTGCTTGCTTGCTTGCGTGCGTGCTTGTTTGCTTGCTTGCCTGCTGGCTTGCTTGCTTGCTTGCTTGCTTGCTTGCTTGCTTGCTTGCTTGCTTGCTTGCTTGCTTGCTTCCTTTCTTTCTTGCTTGCTTTCTTGCTTTGTTATGTGTGTGGGTGTGTGTGTGTTGTGGTGCTCGTAGTAGCACCTTTGTGTTCAGGTCTCACGACAGAAGCGGGACCAGTGGCGCATGGGCGATAAGTTGCATGCTCAAGGATTTGATGCTCAAGGATTTGAGAAGTGCTTCATTTCCACACTGATGGTCAGTGACGAATTCACCCTGAATCCGTTAACCACCCGTGATGAGAGCAGGGCAGCATGTGGGAGCTTGCAGGGAAAGGTAGAGTGAGTAGCAACGCCTTGAGTGGTTTCGGGGGCAGTGGCAGGGCAAGTAAGAGGCTTGGAGCTGGGTGGTCGAGGGGTATGCTGCACATGTGGGCATGGGGAAGGTTGCTTAGGAGATACTGTTGTGTCGCCGCCGACGTGGAGAGCTTGAGAGTTTGGTGTTGGCTTTGAGAGATGCGAGATTGAGAGTTGTGGTTGTGTTCTGTGCGTTGTCTGAGTTGCTTTGTTTCATTACGGGACAATAGTTTTTGCTAATAGTAGTTAGCTTTGATTGTTTTGTGTTTTGTGGCTTGCTTGCTTGCTTGCTTGCTTGCTTGCCTGCCTGCCGGCCTGCCTGCCTGCCTGCCTGCCTGCCTGCCTGCCTGCCTGCCTGCCTGCCTGCCTGCCTGCCTGCCTGCCCCTGCTTGCCTGCTTGTGTGCGTGCGTGCTTGCTTGCTTGCTTGCTTGCTTGCTTGCTTGCTTTCTTTCTTTCTTGCTTTCTTATGTGTGTGGGTGTGTGGATGTGTTGTGGTGCTCGTAGTAGCACCTTTGTGTTCAGGTCTCACGACAGAAGCGGGACCAGTGGCGCATGAGCGATGAGTTGCATGCTCAAGGAATTGAGAAGGTGCTTCATTTCACTAATGTTCAGTGACGAAGTTCCACCCTGAATCCGTTACCCGTGATGAGAGCGGGGCAGCATGGGAGCTTGCATGGAGTGAGTATTAACGCTTGAGTGGTTTCGGGGGCAGTGGGCAGGGCAAGTAAGAGGGGTATGCCGCACATGTGGGCATGGGGAAGGTTGCTTAGGAGTTACTGTAGTGTCGCCGCCGACGTGGAGAGCTTGAGAGTTTGGTGTTGGCTGTTGAGATGCTGAGATGAGAGTTTTGGTGTGTTCTGTGCGTTGTCTGAGTTGCTTTGTTTCAGTTCGGTTCATTAGTTTGATACTTAGTTAGTTAGCTTGCTTTGATTGTTTTGTTTGTGTGGCTTGCTTGCTTGCTTGCTTTCTTGCTTGCTTGCTTGCTTGCTTGCTTGCTTGCGTGCGTGCTTGTTTGCTTGCTTGCTCGCTTGCTTCCTTTCTTTCTTGCTTGCTTTCTTGCTTTGTTATGTGTGTGGGTGTGTGGATGTGTTGTGGTGCTCGTAGTAGCACCTTTGTGTTCAGGTCTCACGACATAAGCGGGACCAGTGGCGCATGGGCGATAAGTTGCATGCTCAAGGATTTGAGAAGGTGCTTCATTTCACTGATGTTCAGTGACGAAGTTCCACCCTGAATCCGTTACCCGTGATGAGAGCAGGGCAGCATGTGAGCTTGCATGGAAAGGCAGAGTGAGTAGCAACGCTTGAGTGGTTTCGGGGGCAGTGGGCAGGGCAGTAAGGGCAGTGTATGGCAGGGCGGGCTTGGAGCTGGGTGGTCGAGGGGTATGCCGCACATGTGGGCATGGGGAAGGTTGCTTAGGAGTTACTGTTGTGTCGCCGCCGACGTGGAGAGCTTGAGAGTTTGGTGTTGGTTGTTGAGATGCTGAGA